TATATATATATATATATATATATATATATATATATATATATATATATATTCTTGATAGTTTATGCATATGAAGAAAATCAGATTTGATACATTTAAAAATTGGAATCAAATTGCGTCTTTAGACGTCCTTTATATTTATTATATATATAATATATCTTGTTTTTCTAATTTTTTCACATACACATGGCTTGTGCATGTGTGCGTTATTTCCTGCCTCATGCTGCTTGCGTCTCAAATCTGGCGTCACTGTCGTAACATAAGATAGCGTACGAGGATAATGGCGGATACCTATGGCGAATGACGTTGCCTGTTAACTCGTGTTAATTCGTTGACAGAAGCGGCTAAGAAGAGGAATTGAAAGAAAACTGATCAAAAGATCAAAAATATGCGTCATATCTGCAACAAGCATCAAACAGCGATTTTTTGTATGACTGCGTTGGAAAGCTGGATTAGAAAACGAAGAGTTATGAAAAAAGAACATATGGAGACATTTACACGAGGTAAATAAAAATTTTAGAATAGACGAAGGAGTTTCACGAGATAATTTATCGCATCGCACGACGATGTGTATGCAAATATAAAAATATTTGTATATTTAATCCAACTTTAACATATCGTAAACATTCCAAATGTCTTTGTATCAACGCATGACTGGTTTCAAATAGGTTAGGATTGCACAGATATTGATATTTATTTATCTTTATAGTGTTATAACTATATTACAATAATTTTAGTCATTAAATGTGGTGTGTTGTATCTGTTTCAGGTTTTATGTAGGCAGGTTTGAGTTGCAAGAGCTCTGTTGTTTATTATTCCAAGCATAATACTATTATTACGATAAGAGTATGTCCACCAACATGCTGACGGAACAAAACGTAGTTTTGGAGTCAACTGACTCTAGTGATACGATGCCAATTGGTTTAATTACTACGGATGATGGTCATACACTTTTGGCGATGGGTGGTAAGAATTTTAATATACAATGTAATAATTATAATAAACATTTTATGTATAAGATCACTAAATGTATACTGTTTTCTTCAGAATATGAAGATGGTACACTAAAAATCATGGCAGCTCCTATTGCATTAATGCCACAGAATAATATGGTATCTCCAACATTGGTAAAGACTGTGGATGGAAACTTTATTTTACATTCTGTTAGTATCTAATAATATCTTTGAAGCATGAAATAATATAAGCAAGTTTTTCTATTTATTTTGAGCATGACGAACGTTTTTGTTTCAGCCTGTTTTCCAATTAAATGTGGAAGGTCTATCGGGGACTGGAATGCAACAAGCAAACCTACTACCGATGATACAACATCTTGAAAATGGACCTGGGATTATTGAGCAACTGAAGTTAGCGCAGAATGCAAATGAGTGTGCAGTTACAGAGCCTTTATCACCTATCAAAGCTGATAGCAATGTATTATTAGATAAAGAACAAGCAACAATCGACAATACTAACAGCGAATCCATGCCAGTATCTATACTAAGAAATATCTATAGGTCTCCGGGTAGACCGAAAAAAACAGGGGTAATTTCACAAGTATTACGTTAAGATTAATTTTGTCATTTTGAGTCGTGCGCGATATAAAATAATTTGCGCACTTATAGTTTGATAATGTAACAATTTTATTTAATATCACAATTGTGAGCTACTTTTATTTAGTCATGTATATTTTTGTTCTTCAGAATACACAGTTCCTGAAGTGTGATATATGCAGGCAAGAATTCACTAAACGGATGTTGTACCGCAGACATATGCAAAATCACGCTGAAGAAAAGCCACATAGATGTCCAAAATGCTCAGCATCTTTTAATATTCCAGTAAGTTTCTTTGATATTTCTTCCAGCGAAATTTATTGAACAAAATTTATAAACTATTTTAAGGAAAAGAAATATATATTATCATTTTATCTTAATTTCAAATTATTAACAAAAGAAAATCATGTGATAAAAACAGTTAAATAGTGAAAGTGACGAAAAGTCACTTGAATAAATCAGCTTAATTAACTATTGGGTTTCTTTCTTGATACAATAATCGGATTCAGTCTAGTAACTCCACACAATGGTATCATTGCAGACAAATTTCACGCTTCACATGGCAACGCATAATACCGGCGACCCAAAATGTCCCGAATGCGGTAGGAAATACGCCAGAATGGCGAGTCTCAAATCTCACATGCTGCTACACGAAAAGGAGGAGAATCTCTTCTGCACGGAATGCGAGGACGCTTTTTTGACAAAGGTAAGTTTATTTATTTTATCAATTTTTACACACCAACATTTCTTTTAATGTAAATTAATATACAGCAGTCGAAGATTTTTAATACGCGTGTAATCTTGATTAGAAAAACTTCATGAAATGTAGAAGCCGTTCCGAAGCAGTTCTTGAAAAGCATCTAGTAGTTTTTAAACAGCTTTTATAAAAGTCGCTGCGCTCCATAAGATTGCCTTATCGATACTCTGCTTGTTAGTGCATTACGCATACTAATTCGCCGATAACATTCACCATTGTGTGCACAGAATACATAATAAGTATCCTGCGGCTAAAGGCTAAGGTATTGGGTACTTTATTTCGTCGTGTTTGTTTCTTCCGCTATCGATTCACGAGTTAGCATGAATTATATTCATAAACCTCGTATTGATAACGTATAGATTGTGACGCTCGCAAATCTATACGAAGTTGTTTTTTGGAAAACATTTGTCATCTCTCTCTCTCTCTGCAGCATACAGCGACTCACATTAAACGATCAGTAGGATCTGTTGTTATTAACGGAAAACGGGTACGGATCTTGATCCGTCTAATCAAGGGTCGATCTCGGTGACCCACGACGAATTATCTATCCGCCGCCTGCCAGCCGAAATCAAGCAATTGTAAAAGACAGGAACCAGCGATTCTCGCACTGCATATTTTCGCAGCCGACTGCAGCCGAAGAGGAGATGACTTAATAATTCTCTTGAACGCCCGCGAAGACTAAGAGGACATTATCTCATAGTGTCGTCAAAGTATGCCAGCAATAATTGGCCTTGCACACTTTGCAAACATCAATGCCACTTAGTTACTTCGTCTTTGCTGCATATTCATCGACTTATCAATATAATTAGCGCTATTAATAGAAATGGAATTAATGAATCAGATTTCGATATAGTAACGTGTTTCTCGATCGACCGATTTTTTCATCGATTATCAGTGAAAAAAATATATGTCTCTCGGAGAAGAGTGCCGAAGATGTAACATTGCAACTTGTTGTGCTTTGAAGAATTTTTCCAGTTTTCGGAGACGGTTAATCGATCGTCGCGGTGTGACCGTGATAACGACGTGGGCCGTAAAACATGGGCAAGTAGGCGAACGTATTAATGCGGCGCGCACGAATTACGCAACCGAATCGCATGATCTCACACAGATCTCTCACCGATTGCTCTCCCGTTTGGCCGTCGACACGCGCCATACGTCCGCATATACACGCACGTACGCGTGTGCGCGTGCACGACAACGAAATGTGGAACGGACTCTAGGAAATGCGTTGCGTCGCGTATCATCCGCCTCTGCTCGAATCTGAATGTAGGAATGTTCATCTCAAATACAAGAAGAGTAGGAAGGAATCCGCACGATAGAGATTTGAACAAAAAAAAATATATGCAGCTTGACATTCAATTAAAGTGAAATAAGATAAGAATATTTTAATTTCAGCCAGAAATATTGACATAATTATTGAGTTTATTTGAAGGAAAAGGAAGCTAAGAGGAAATGTATGCAAAAATTGAAGATGCAAGAAAGCAGCCAATATAAATTGAAGAGAATTGTGTTGCGAAGAAAGAAGAGAAAAATTCAAGAAGATAAAAACAGGAAAGAACGTATAAAAATAATATTTATTGTTGAGTTTCAAGTTCAACTTTGGATTTACGAACCAACGTTAACAATGGATTGTACTTCGATTCTTGACATTTGTCGAACAAATTTGAAAGTACGGTAACTAACAGAGAGAGGCCGATAACGATGACTACAACGACGACGTAAGCGACATTTACAGTCGCTTCGTCAGTGAGCAGCGAGTACTCGCGAAGCGCACACGTGCTCGCGCTTGTCATTTCATCGCCCAGCGCATATTTCTTCGACGAAATATGCGGTTTCGTCAAAGTCGAAGGTCACCGCACGTGTGTCGTCGCAAGAATTTACATTTCTTCACGTGTAAAGTCGCATGGAAATTCGCTTTTTCGCGTTAAACGCAGTGTGCAATGCATTAATTACGCGGCGCGTAAAGTTAATTAACTGAATCTTAATTACATCTTTATCAGTCATCATCAGCGCCTGCGTTTATTTTACAGCTGTCCGCTTTGTGCGTTGCCAGGATTTACCGCCGGAAAAATGGAAGAATCGAGATAACGTTGGGAGCAGTTTATATTGAAATGAATGATCTCTTCGTGGAATTCATCGAATTGTTAATTGACGCTCAATTTTTGCGTAATAATCTTCGCCGCTCAGCATCTAGTCTTCTGCCGAATGTTACCGGGGTAGAATTTCCTCTCCCAGAACGTGCGCATGTTTTTACTCGCTTGTATCACGGTTTGTATATTTTTCCTGGCGCTTGAAAGGTCTTCGAGGAGGTCCGCGCGCTTCTCCCGAAAACCGAAGTTCGTGGTAGGAATCGTACAGATGGTGTTTCTTCTTGGTGCGCGAAAGTTATAGAAGGGAAATAATCGAGCGTGAATAATTGACGTGCGTTTGTTGCTTGGATTAAATCTACTGTATAACAAAACGCAGGACAAACGCGCGAGGAAGAAAGGAAAACGAAGAGGAAGGATCGCCGAGCGAAATAGAAGCGCCGATAATGCAGCCGCCGTTACACCGCTGATAAGAGCCGAACCGTTGAACTTTACCGGGAAGAGCGCGAGAACACAATCCCGATAATTCACTATTATTAGTAGCGTTAACCCTGAAAATCGCTCGATAATTCGCTCATCTGCATTGAGCAGCATTGAAACGCAATCGCCTCGAGTCGTTAAAAACGGTCGATGGATGTGTTACATCGCGCCGCTTCGCAGTGCATATGAGATTAAGTTTTTTTCGCGGAAGAAGCGCTCGGAACGGCAGTAATCTTTCGCGAAGGCGCATGTTTATGCGCGAGTGTTTATGCAACAATAATCTGACCGCAGTGAGTCGAACGGGATAAGAAGGAACGAAGAAAGAGACGGCGATTTAATACGGAGAAATTAATGACGTTTCCTGGAGGCTGTATTTTAGGAACTCCGACCCGCAGAAGAGCGTCCGGGGATCTTCTGGTCTCTTCGAATCGTTCGCGTCGCTCGCGTTTGCATGACCGTGCGGAGCCGAGCATGAATCGTGCTTGACACTTGACACGCCAATTGTCCGTCCGTCGCAGTACAATAATTCGTGTCTCGCACACGTCCCCGTTTTTCGAATAAGAAACACGGCGAAGGAATTTCTGCGAAACTGACGACACAATCTGCTCCTGACAGCTGCGCAAGTTCTCTTCAGCGTCGATTTCAATCGATAATCTGGAGGAGAAGAATTGGAGAAAGTGTCGCGAGAAGAAGCAGAAAGTGAAAGAGTTGCTGCTTTGAATAGCCAGCGATTTGTGACAAGGATGCTCTGGAAAGTAGGCGGTGTATCAAAGCCGGAAATCGTTTCCTGAATCGCCACGAACATCCGACGTGATTAGATGTTCCACGGTTCGGCGTGCTCCGCCGCAAAGAATTGCAGCGAAACATCTCGCCAATTCAGAACTTTCGGTTTCAGTCTTTTCGACATCACCGAGACATGAGATGAAATTCGGGATTATCAAAAAAAGAGAGGAGAAATATTCTTAATCTCAGGCGTGCCATCGATCGAATTTACGAACGTTTCCGGTCTCCATTTTTACATTGCATTCTAAATCATGAATTGTTGCGGCAAATTGTACAATGTTGCATCGATTTTTTGGATCTTTCTCGAGGCAGTTTTTTTTCGAAACTTGAACTTTTCGATGTATATCAATCACAGAGTCTGAACTCGTCATTTTTTCCAATCCGGGATTTTGTGAGTGTTTAAAATCTTCGTCTATCGTAGAATTTCCCCGACAAGTTATGTCGTCTCAAGTTTACTTATGCAGATCGCCGACTCATCCCGCGCCGTTTGTCGGCGGCATCTGAGGAATCCGAGATGCGAGCGGCGGCGGGCTTCTCACTGGTGAACCGAAATCTCATCATCGCGGAAGAAGCGCTGCGCGGAAGGGAAAACGAATCGCGGAGGAGGGAAACGCACGAGGGAGAAGAAGAAGAAGAAGAAGAAGAAGAAGAGGTGGTGGAGGAGGAGGAAGTCGAGGAAACGGCAGTAGGACGATCGAGCGGAAGAGGAAGAAAAGTAAGCCGATCCGTGGGCAGAAGAGCGGGAGGAGCGGAGAAGAAGAAGAAGAGCGGGCGACTTCGGGAAGATCAATCGGCGCGCGGGGAGGAAGCTGCTGGACCGCGGGCGTGTCGGAAAAAGTGCAATGTCCTCCCGCGCGATGCTGGTCGCGGTGACGCGCGGGAATTAAAAGAGCACGGCAATCTCGACGATCTCGGGATTCTTCTCGGAGCCGTCGGTGCTCGTTCCCAGATGCTGCGCGGAAGAAGAGACGGAAAGAGGGAGGAAGAGGAAGAACTTTATCGTATGCGCTGACATAAAATCCGCTGAAACGCGATAGAAAGGAGAGATACGCGCCGAAAGAGAACGGCGGGGAAATAAAAAAAGAGAGGGAGAAGAGAGAGAATTTTATTATATGTTCTGGTATGAAATTCCGAGAGAGAGAAGATGGAGAGGAGAGAATGAGAGAATGTAGAGTAGGGAAGACATGAGAAGAGAGTGAAACTCGAGTTTTTGCAGTCGCAGGAGAATGCGACCACGTGGACGCGACGCATTAAAGTAATTTCTCGGCGTCGCGCACGCTAATTAATCGCTCGAAGACGAATAGTCTGATCTCTATTTCAGTTACTTCTTTGCGTTCGCTCCCTTTATCAGTAGGAGATAATGGAAGATGTTGCTAGCGGCCTTCGAGTCTGGATTTATCGGCTGATACAATTAATTAGCGGAATCCTGTGTATGCGTATTATTGTTTGCGAGCGCGATTCAGTTTGCTATCCGCGCGCGATAGTAATAGTCCGATCTCGTGTTCAACTTTGTGTTCGTTTACGCGCGATCGCCGAGACACGGCGGGAAGAGGCTTTTCTCGAAACGACCGATCGACAGTCACGATAAATTCGGCGGATCGCCCGGTTGTGTTCATTGCGTTGTGTTCGTCCTACTTTTTGCTCCAAGCACTGCCATATAAGTACCCACTGCCCGCCGGCGCATATTACTTTATGTTACACGACGTAATCCGAGCCGCAGTGCGCGTCTTCCGATATGTCGTTCACCGTAGACTGCCTGAATTTCGCGCTTCTCCTCATCTGCACACGCGTGTTCCATCTCGCTCTTGGAATCAGCGCTCAGTATTATAAGGTATACATCAATCTCAGTAAATCCCTAAATTGTTGTAATCGCAAGGGTGCTCTGAAAAAATTATCAATAACAGAGATGTATATTTCGCGGAGAAATTTGAAATTTAAAACGGTCCTCGTGAATGAAAGAACTGTAGATCGATTGTGTAAAAGTAATATTCATTTAGTTTTTAAAAATTATTCTTATCAGACTCAATTAAGCGATAGAACAATTTTTTTTAATTCAAGTCCGATTAAACGCGCAATCATAGTTTAAAATTTAAGGCAAACTTCAAATCGTGAAATATTTACGAATAGCTTGTGTAAAAGTAATTTCCAGTTATTTTTTAAGATTGAAATCATTCTTATTATTAGATTCGATTAAACGATTGAATAATTTTTAATTATTTGTTAAAATTCAGGTCTGATTAAACGCGCGTTTGGAATTTAAGACAATCTTCAAATTATGAAATATTTACGAATAGCTTGTGTAAAAGCAATTTCCAAAGATCATTAAGATTGAGATCATTTTTCAGGCTCAATTGGATGCGCATTTGAAGCTCCACGGGGAAAAGTGGGCGAACGAGGATGCGCGAAAGTGCAAGTTGTGCAACAAACAATTTGTGCAGCCCGCACTCTACCGTCAACATATCCGCGAACATTATAGGGTGAGTAAGGGAAACTTATTAAGTGTCATATATCCGACAAGCGGGTCGGTAAAACACTAGCGTTGCTTAATATAAAATTGTAATATAAACTTCTATCTTCGCTTTTACCCTTTTTTTCCTTAAACGTGCTTTCACGCTCTTAATAAACAGATCGTGTCTCTCTCCCTTATCGCATTTATTTCCCTGCAGCAACAGACGAAGATAGCCAGGCAAACCAAGAGGGGAACGAAACATAAAACAGTGTACAAATGTACCATATGTTTGAAATTCTTCCAAAAACCGAGCCAACTGTTGCGGCATCTCAGGGTGCACACCGGTGAAAAGCCCTTCAAGGTAGTTATTGTTTTCCACTCGAGATAAAATGAGAGTGTGATTGATTCAATATCTGCTTTTGCTTGCGCAGTGTACCATTTGCAGCAGGGCGTTCACGCAAAAGAGCTCGCTGCAAATCCACACGTGGCAACACAATGGTGTTCGGCCGCACAGCTGCACCCTCTGCACCGCCAAATTCAGTCAAAAAGGTTTAAAAATTTGCAATTAATACATACTTAATTGTGTCGGAATTTATTATCATTCTATATTCATCTAGCATCTCGTTTTTTCCCATTTTATTTTATTTTTATTGCTTTCTAACATTTTCTTTTGATTGTATTGATCGTGTTTTTTTATTTTTACAGGAAATCTAAAGGCGCATATTCTCAGAGTGCACAATACGGCAGAGGGTGAGCCAACGTATGCCTGTTCTTATTGCTCCTGCGTCTTCAAGAAGCTGGGCAGTTTAAACGGGCACATAAAACGAGTGCACACTAATGTTCTGGAGGTAAACATGAGAGACATTTAACTTGTAAACATTTCGCTTTACTTCGCTATATAAATTGAGACTTGTAAACTTTGTTTAGGAATCCGTTGTCAAGCTCTTGGAAACTAACTCCGTCGTATCGCCGGAAGCTGACATGCGTGCGACCGTTGACAGCGTAATATCGCAGTTGGCGTCTTTGGAATCCGCCGTGAACAATACCACGGATAATTCCACAAAGACCGCAACGCTAAATACAGAAGAGGACGATATTCTGCAGCAAGCGTTAAAAAACAGCGGCTTACCGAACAAAAACGAAGTCACTCCGAAAGGTGACTGTCTCGTAGAGATATTCGCTATTAGTTATCAGATAAATTGCATATATCGAAGGTTAATGTTGTATGAATATTATTCCGAATCAGATAAGATAAATATTTGTTTGCAGAAACCGCGGAACCGAAGAAGACGGATTCGCCAACGTACGTCACATTACTCGACAGAACCGCCGGTGGTACTTCAAGGTAGTATTTTTTATCTTACGATAATATCGACAATTTAAAAATATAAGTATCACATAATATAATAGAACGGCATTGAGAGCCGTCGCGGGATGTTAGTGCGAAATTTTAATTTTTCTTAAAGAAATTAATTTATTAGTCTACGTGAGACAGTTAACTTTGTACATCGATCTCTGGTTCGAGATACTTAAAGTGTACGAAAATTTTAGTACATTGTTCTCACATATGGAGAATCAGTATGTACTGATAGGAATTATTAGAAAGAAATAAAACTGATAGGAATTATTAAAAATATGAAACGATAGCAATGTTAAAAATTCAAAACCAAACAAACAATATTCCGTTCTTCTATTATGCGACAGGATAATTTTTGTTTGCAGGAAGTATCTTACCATAAAGCAACGCTGCGTGGGAAACATACGGTGGTACGCGTGTTTATTCTGCCCGAAAGAATTCAAAAAACCATCGGATTTAATACGTCACTTACGCGTGCACACGCAGGAAAAACCTTTCAAGGTAAGCGGTCTTTTAAAGCCATTAGATCTTAATGGATCACTGACAGTAAAGTACGTCATTCTGCGTATTTTCAGTGTAAATATTGCGTGCGATCCTTCGCATTAAAATCGACGATGATAGGACACGAGCGGACTCATACTGGAATGAAGAAGTACGTTTGCGACTCCTGCAAACAAACTTTCGCGTGTCATAGCAGTTTCACCGCTCATTTGAGGTGAGTTTTAACGTTTCTCATTTAATTTAACTTGTTGAAAATGTATGTATATGTTTTTATTTCTTTTCTAAATATTAATCATATACTTTTATCTACGTATTTCTTCCAATCTTCATTGATTTTTTTATTGTATTGTTTTTTCCAGCAAAATATAAAGCGTTTATTCAATTATACTTTGTGCAATAAAACAAATATTTCAACAGTAAGATCTGTTCTTGCTTTCAGATTACACACGAAACTGCACAAGTGCAACATATGCGACAAGTCGTTCAGCGCGAGCACGATCTTGAAGAATCACATGAAGAGTCACACGCGAGAGAAGCCGAAGATATCGCCGGAGGCGGAAAGCCTGGTGCCTCAAGTGGTGCTGCAGGAGCCGCTCGTCATCAGCGGCGCCGGTAATAAAATCAGCGTGGTGCAAGTGCAGTCGAAACAAAAACAGTTGTACGAGAGCGTCGGCGTGGCCAGGCCGCACGAGTGCCGCACTTGTCACGCAGCGTTCAGGAAAATCAGCCACTTGAAGCAACACGTTCGCAGACATACGGGCGAGCGGCCTTACAAGTGCGCGAAGTGCGACAGGTTCGAGATTTTCGTCGCCTTACGTTTGAATCTCTAATATTAGATGGATCAAGAGATTTTTTTTTTTTTAAATCAATGAATAAATTTTTTGATCAATGCAATTGCTATCGAGTTTGACTTTTAATGTTTTCTTTAATCAAGAGAATAAACGTTTGACTTTTAATATACCTTTGCAGGAGATTTACATCCAACAGCGTTCTGAAATCTCACCTACATACGCACGAAGACGCGCGACCGTACAGTTGTTCGATATGCAACACGAAATTCTCCACGCAGAGCAGCATGAAGAGGCACCTGGTCACGCATAGCAGTAAAAGGCCGTTTATGTGTCCCTATTGCCACAAGACGTTCAAGACGTGCGTCAATTGTAAGAAGCATATGAAAATACACAAACACGAGCTAGCGCAACGGGTTCGTACCTTCAATGTCGTTTTCAAAAGCCTGTTTATATGAACGAGGAAATAAGTATTAAAATCTCTCACGCAGCAATTGGAGGAACAAAAGACGCACGAGCATACCGGACAACAGCCTCCGAGCCAGGATAAAGACGCTGCACCAGCATTGCCGGAGAGCATCGCCCTCGCCGAAGACATGGAGGTGTCGTTTCAACCGCAAATGGCGCCAGATTTTACGCAGGCTTTCTCCGATCAGTTTCAAAATATTAGCACGGAGAAGGAGAAGTCCTTTCTACTGTCGGACAGCGCAACGCCATCGATTGCGAATCGTACGTTTTTTAAAAAAATAGAAAAATTAAAAAAGAAAAAGATCTCATTATACATTCATATATGTTTATTTCAGAAAATTTATCTGTCGACACAACTAATTTGGGAACGTCGCAAACTCTACACGCTGACGAAACCGGTACCATCACGTTGTCTCATTATTCAGGGGATCAAACTCTCACGCCGGTACGTAATCTCTCTTAATCTAGAAAGATAAATCGCAGCGTAAAGAAAGATGAACGATGTTTGGAAAATCTTGCAGGAAAGCATACGAGAGATCGAGGAGACTCTAAACCAACAATTGTTCAATATCGGCATGAATCTCGGGCTGGAAACGAACAACCTGACGAGGCAGATGGATGATGCGAATACGGGTTCCCTCGACAATCCCAGGGAGCAACCGGTGCTGAATATAATATACGAGCACAACAAGAATCTGGATTCATCCGGCAACGCCATATTCACGCCGCAATTCGACAATTTCGATATGAGTCAAATTACGTTACAGGTACGAACTTTCTTCGCGAAAGTAACGCGTCTCTCGAATGCAAAAGAATTTTTATACTTTGTTTTGTAAGTATGAAATAACCAATAACCGATTTTTTAGGCGGACAATGAGATAAACATTGGTCTGAATCCGAGCAACTCCACGAGTATGTCCAGCATCTTGCCCAGATCCGTGACAGGAAGCAACGGCCAGCAGGAGGAACAACAAGCCGCGCCGATTACCACTGCCAGCAGCATAGACGCTTCCCAAATTACGAGGAACACTCATCTGATGGTGATAAATCCCAAGGAGAATTGTTCGGAATTGATGAAGCTTTGCCCGCCCAAGTACTCGAAAGTCATCGCGAAGGCGGACACCACGAATGAATTGGAGATGCGAGGAGTGAGCGGGCCGAAAAAAGCGCCGCAGAAAGGCAACGCTGTATCGTGCGAGAACGACAGAAGTCTTTTGTTCACGTAGGTTCTTTCAATTGGCATAAATTATTCTGTTGCTATCGAGCAATTGAAAAAAAATGTGTTCTGCTCGTAGGGAGAACTTTCAAAGTACAATGCAGGAGGCGCTTATTTCCTCCGACTTGGATAGCTCGGTCAAAATAGCGGAATGCAACACCCTGTTGCAGTGTCACATGTGCGGCAACCAAGGTTTCACAACGGAGGGATTGAAGGTGCGAGAAATATTTGCCAAGTACTTCGCGATATAAATCCGAACTATTTTTCACAAAATTGATTTAATTGTAATTGATTGTGATTGTAGGAGCATCTAAAATCTCATCGCGGCACCAAGGAGTACGAGTGTACGGAATGTTCCCAGCGATTCTGCACGAACGGCGGTCTCAGCAGGCACATGAAGATGCACACGAATAAACAGTAAGTGAATTAAACAAGAAGATGAGAAAGTGTTTAAATGTACGGTAAAAAGCAATTGAAAATTTTCCCAATTTTCTCGCACAGGCAGTGGAAGTGCACGACCTGTCAGAAGGTGCTGGGCAGCAAGCTGCAATTGAAGTATCACAACAAAGTGCATACCGAGGCTTGGAACGTTTCGTCTATGGAAGCGGACAGTTCTCAGAAGGAACTAATCTCATCGAGTTCCGGTCTGCCGTCGATAACGACGCTGGATGTTCGAGTAGATGCGGACTCGTCGGTGTCCGAGAAGGTCTTAATGGACGCCGTTGCCGAGAAAAAGAGTATGGATTGTGCGGATGTAAGTATTATAGAAAGATTTGCGCTGGTGTGCGACAATTCACATTGATTATATATGATGTCTGACTTTTCATTCAGGAAAAAGTGGAGAAGAAGGAAAAGAGGGAGTACACGAACAAGTGCAAGTACTGTCCGAAAACTTTCCGCAAACCGAGCGACCTCATCAGGCACATTCGCACGCACACGGGCGAACGGCCGTACAAGTGTGAACACTGCAACAAGAGCTTCGCGGTGAAGTGCACTCTGGATTCGCATATGAAGGTTCACACGGGCAAGAAGACGTGCTACTGCCATGTTTGCGGCAGCATGTTCGCTACGAAGGGCAGTTTGAAGGTTCACATGCGATTGCATATAGGTTCGTGATTTCTTGAACGTTTCTTGTATCCTTGAGTGATGTCACTCATAATTTTATTTCGAATTTTGAAGATGACGACACAATAGCATGATTTAATTCTCCTTTTCCAGGCTTCAAACCGTTCAAGTGTCCCGTGTGCGATCTGCGATTCCGCACTTCGGGTCATAAAAAGGTGCACATGGTGAAGCACGCGAGGGAGCACAAGAGCGGCGCGAAGCGCAAGCCGAAGCATCTGAAAGTCGCAGCGGTGGCGGAAGCAGTGGCCAGTCTCGAGAAGGTCGACAATAATCCTTTGAACAGCACGACGCCGATGACGACGGCAACGACGACGACCGTGATCAACGACGCAGCCGCGTCGTCGCAGAACTTGGATTATCCCGCGTTGGAGCACACGGTGAATCTCGATAGCGCCGTTCATCTGCCGAATCAGATCGCGTTTAATTACGCCGACCCGGCGACGACGGCGGCGACGACGGCGACGATTCTCAACAATAATTCCATGCTATCCGTGAACGACAGCAACGAACTGGTGGCGAATCTGCAGTTCCTGCTGGCGAACGGTCTCGTCACCATTCAAACGGACGACACCCTGCTGACGCAGCCAGCGACAGGCAGCTCCGACGCCACCGGCGCCGCGATGCCGACCAACGTGATCGAGCTGGTCAATCCGAATCCTTTTCAGGATGCGTGCAATTTGAGCAACGCCAATCACATGGTGATAACCAGTCAGGTGCCGACGGAATCGCGAGCTGCGGACGCGAGCAGCGGAACGGCGGTTATTCAAATGAACGAATGCATGGCTCCCATTTCCGTGGTGCAGTTGCAGGATCAAAGCACGTCCGAAGCGAAGACGAGTGGTCAATCGATAACGATAGCGGTCGATCAATCAGCGGCAGCGACGACGACAACGACGACGGCGACGACCGCGAAATCCGTGACACAGTCTTCGAGGAAGGATTGCGATGTATGCGGGAAAACGTTCACGAAGCCGTATCAAATGGAGCGGCACAGGCGCATCCACACGGGCGAACGACCGTACAAGTGCGAGCAGTGCGGTAAATCGTTCGCGCAGAAGTTCACGTTGCAGCTACACCAGAAGCATCACACAGGCGACCGGCCGTATCCCTGTCCGCACTGCAAACACTCGTTCACGCAGAAGTGCAACCTGCAGACGCATCTAAAGCGTGTCCACCAGCTGGTTATGTTCGACTTCAAGAAGCTGAGGAATCAGCAGATGCTCGGCGCGCTTCTACAGGACAATCAAGCGGCTGACGCTAAGCTAGTAAGCCTGGACGATATATTAGTGGTGGATTTTCTCAAGTAAGACACCGAGAGACGCCTCTTACGACGAGCTCTGTGATGCGAGCAAATCGCGAGTAGATAGAACGCGCGCTAATTAAAAAGCGTGCCGTAAACGAATCTTCGGGGATTAAAAAGTACTGCGCTGTTCCAAGCAGATCTGAGAAGAAAGATTTCAATTTAAGCTAATTATTAAAACTGTGATGTATGTTCTGTATGTCGCCGATGTTACAACAGTAGACGTAATTTAATGCCGTTTGTCTAGTTGAACTATTGTTATATTTTGTATTGCCGGTCCACGGGATCGTCGTACGCGAGATGTTTTTATTTTAACATGGATACACGCACAACTGACATTTATCTTCTTTTATTTAAAATAAAAATATATATTGTTATATACACCACCGCGTTTGGCTCAACATAGATATATGGAAACTCTCAAAACAACGTACGCAAAACAACATGAGCAACGAAGGAACTCAGTGCTGGAAGTCGCAGTCGGTCTCGAGGGCGGGGCATCCGTCGGGATGGTTCTTGTGGAACCAGCAGGGCTTCACCTTCCTCAACGGTGCTTTCCCGCTTTTCCTCCTCCTCTTCCTTTTGTCGACGGTGCCGGGAATCCTGAACTGCACCTTCCCCTGGACGACGCAGAAGATATTACTGTGATTCTTCAGCAAGGTTTGCAGGCCGCCGCATTCGTTTCGCAGCTGCTGCAGCGTCTCGCGCGGTATCAGTTTCACCAGCTCGCCGATCTCGATCTGTCTGCCGGCGTTCCACGTGGCACCGGGTTGTCGCTCCAGTGGTATCTTGCGGCCCGCGTGCAGCAGATGCGCCACGACCGCGTTGACGATATCCAGGATCAATCCTCTGTCTAGCTGCGTGCAGTTCCGCGTTCGCTCCGTCGGGCTTCTCGGTCTGAAGCTCGCGGACCACTGTTCGCAGACTTGATTCGTGTTTTCAGTCCGTTGATTCGTCGATCTCGCGTCTATAAGCTTCTGGATGTTGACGTCCAGTGTCGCGGTGTCCTCCTTCGCGTAAGTCCTCTTCCATCCGATTAAACAGGTCCGCTTGGTCGACGGGATCCGCAATCTGTCCATCAGCGTGAAAAAGCCGCAGCCTTCGCATACACTTTTGATGTAGGACATGTACTCCGAGTACTGACTCTCGGCGGCGTTGCACCGCTGATACTTGCTGCCGTTGAATTCGTAGGCGCAGCACGGCAAGAGGAAGAATCGGCATTCGTAGGAGCTGCGCGCAGCGATCACGGGAATCCACGGCGTGAGCTCGTCCGAGTGATTTCCTATGATCCAGTCCACTCCGGGAAAGATGGTGTTTGAAGATGGAACGATAGAGCTGACCTGATACAAAATGTGACTATTATTAAATATAAATGGTGGGTAATTAAATGTAGACAAGCATTGAATATAAAATTACTTAGATTTGTACAAAAGAAAGAAAAATATTAGCGATTAAATATTACGTCAGTACATAAATTCATGTATATTTATTACAATAAATTATTATTTTGACGAAAGAATGAAGAAAATGCGAGCTCAATTATGGACTGATGTAATGTTTAAGTTTATTCGAGTAGATAGTTTTAGCAAACGATGCACATACTTGTAAGTGAGTGCTCTCCGGATACAAATTCCAAATCGTCCTCTTGCGCAAATCAATTCCCGTTCCTGGGTGACCCTCGCTCGATAAGATGTGAACGAGAAGACCGTTCCCGCATCCAAGATCGAGGAATGATTGCAGTTCCTGCGTGCCCTTTTCCTGCCTCTCCTTCTCCCACAGCAGCAACAGGTATGTTGCGATCGCGACGTCTTCGTAAACGAACTTTGCCGGATCCGTGTTCTCCGGCCACACCTTCACCATTTCTGTGCCGTATTTCTTTTTCAGCTGATTGTACAGCGATGTGTACTTCTCAACGGAGACATGACTCAGAGAACTTATTTTCGAACTGATAGCGTTTTCGCTTTCCATCCACTTTATTAAACGCGGTAAAAGCTTTCGTTTCAACCATTCGTAATAGCCGTGATTTTCATTATCTGATTTACGCACGCTTAAACACGTGGACGTGTATTCACGATGCTGTATGCTGTAGATCGAATTCGGTCCTACAGCCTGTTTGTCTTGGACAATCGATTTCTGAAAACTGACAATTTTGGTCAATTTCTTGTCGATAAACATAAATTCCAGCGTGGGCGAGAATATCTGCAGATTGCGAGGCAGCAATTTCGTCACACGCATATATATTTTGTTGTCGTCCAACGTTTCAATTGAATCGGTAAATTCAAGTAATTCGTAATACTCAGTGATATTTAATGTGTCTAACAAATATTTCACATTTCCTGAGGTTAAGTCACATTCAAAATCATTGGAGTGTATCTGCAACTTCTCAATACGCTCAAAAATATCCAGAATATTACAACTGACTTCAATCGCTAATAGTTCCTGAGATGCCAGGATTTTACGATTCACAACGTGTGGGTTTTTCATCCAGATTGCGATGGCTTTCCAAAATTGCGAGGCACTACAGTTGGTGCTCTCACTAGCAATCTGTTCAAAGTCCATTTTTCTACTTAATACTAATATGTATATTGCAATGTATGTTAATTTATCATTTTGGCGTTGAACTGCTACCTGGTTGATTGTACTGTGTAAAGAAGAAAAGAGAAAGAATATAAATTACCTTTGATTTAAATATCTAACATATATAATTCAAGTTCAATATACAAATTAATGGCACAAGTACCTTTTGTATCACCCACTTAGCATCTACCAATGCCCGTTCCATAATCTGTTGCACACGTTCCTCGTCAGACTCCAAGACGTGTTGCTTGAAGCTCTAGAAAAAAATGTCAGTAAAGTCAAAACTTATTAATAGAGAATTCGCTAATTATAGAGATGCATGTGTCTTTCAACAAAGAATAATATTTAATTTTTTATTTAATTATTACTAGAGTTTGTGTACAATTTTTTGTTAGGTTAGATTAGGTTATGTCGAATAAATTGTAATTATTTAAGTATACCTTATACGTACTTGTTTGACAGAGTGCTTGTAAAACTGTTGCGTGTGTTTTGGCAGCTTTTCGCATTCGCGTAATAAATATTTGTACAATTGCTTAGGCGTATTCACCGACGCATTGCCGACAACTCGGTTCGCCATTATTTACACGAGATCACGGAACACATGAAGGTGACTTCTTTTTTTCCAGTCTCTATTATATACTCACATTGACAAGATATATTGGCTATTAGTAAAATAGAAAATAAAGATATCGTTAAATTATAATCCATCAAAAAATGTGTTTCAATTATAATGTATAAATGCATCTATCATGACAGTAATACATGCAAATATTACAGTTCGCTTTACCTTTTATCGAATTATTCGCGATAAATTCAATTATGAAAATAAAAAACCTCTTTTAAATTATTTCAGATTTCAAAACTATCAATCCGTCATTAACAGCAATGTATAAAAATGTATGGGAAAATTGCATTTTAAAATTTGCGCCATCTCGGAGCTTGATCGTGCCACTTCTTCCATACATGTTCTTTTAATACCGTGGACTTAGCCCCAGAATTTGAATATTTGAATTTGCAACTTACGTCAGGTTGCTTACCTCCTGTCCAAATATGTGTTCCGCATACGATCCGGCCGCCTGGTGGTCTTCCGGATATCGATTTGGTTGGCAGGGCAACCGTTGCCCTTACCAACCAACCCAGCGCAACCGTGGTGTTTCCTAAACGAAATCATATGATGTAAGTATTTAATTAAAATCATCGCATAGGAATACCTCTTATCGAAATATGTGTTCCGCATATAAAATGCTGCCTTTGGTAGTCTAAAATCGATATATTGATTTCGTTGATAGGGCAATGGTTCGGTTTGCTGACGTATAGTCATATGACGCAAGTGTTTTAATTAAGAATATCGCATCGGAATACCTCTTATTGAAATATGTGTTCCGCATATAAAAGGCTGCCTCCGTTTGCTTCAATCAATATATCGATTTGGTTGATGAGACGACGGTTGCCCTTATTAACCAAGTTTCGGCGTTGTGGTTGCCGGCGAATGCGATCACATGACGCAAGTGTTTAATTGTGAGATTATTGATTGATTGATGGTTTTTCAAGAATATACGCGTGTCACATTTTTCGCAATTTCTTATGTAATTAAATGTTATATTAATCATTCTTTAAATAACAATTGTAACTAAAATAAGACTAATGTTAATTATATCTTTCACGTATATTTATTTTTAAAATATAGCTATTATAGTAAACATTTTTGTATTAAATTTGTTATTGATAAACAAATAGATATTTTTAGCCAGCACAACGGTTGCACAATTGTTACGTTTTCTGAACGTTAGGAAATTATGTATGCTTATTATATCTTGTTGTATAACAAGAAATAAATTAGAATTTTTTATATATAGGCGGGAAATATCATAAATATTACACACAGTTTTCGTTTTTGATGAATAAATACTTATATTTACAATTAATTTTTGATGTACCACATAATAAAAATGAAGTATTATAGCGAATTAAGCTTACGATAATACACAGAACCGTTTTGAATCTTATCTGCAGTCTTATTCGTACAATTCCGTATGCAACACACAGTGAAATCTCCGGAAAAAGTTTCAAGTAAAATCACAGCAACTTTCCTAGCAGCTTTGAGTACGTCTGAATCGCCAAGTACATTCAGTGTACTTGCGTCTACCAGCCTTTTCGCTAATTATTGTATACGATATTCTTCTATCGTTATTGATATCGCTCGTATAAACATCGTCTACATCACATATGTTTATATAAAAAACGCATTTTATGAAATATCATTGTTTCGTCATTGTTTACGCTATATAAATTCTATATGTGTGATGTAACGGTCATCGTCAATCTGAGAATGGCGTTTAAAGCTACTATTACTCTACTAAAATACCGATATATCAAAGATATTAAAAAATAAATATATATTTGTATATATATGTACGATGTTGTAACAAGTAAAAAATATACAATTGTTATACGTCATGTGGTCGCAAAAAGGGTCGTCTAATATCCTCGATAAAGTGAATGGGAAACAACTGATCTTCACCGCGACAATTAAAACGAAGATATTACGAAAAATCACAACCAGTGAGTAGCCAATTATTATGCTAGTAACAAAAATAATGATTAATATTACAATAAATTATGCCACATGCGGCTTCAGGAATTTTACGAGGGGCGGCACTCGCTCGCTCCATCTGTCAGAATTGTAATTCGGCTAATATTTGCTCTCAAACAATCCTTGAATATAGATTATTTGTTTGCGCGAACCACGCATTATCATTTCCAACACTCTACTACGCTTTCAGCTAATCTATTTTGGCGTATTATTAGGCAGTTTTGTTAGTTCACAAAATGTGTAAAATGTATAAAAACGTTTAGCAATCTTGTAAAGATGAGTAAACTATGTCAAAGCGTCGCATATGTAACTATACTCAAGGATGTTCTTGACGCTTACGTATGCCATGGCCTAATCTAGAATTTAAATAACAAAGTATTAGTTGCCCTTTTTACACATTTACATATCGTATTATTTATAATATGTATAATATGTAAAAAGGACAATTATATCTCAAATATGATATATAATATTTAAGATAATTCTCAACAAATGTAGCGACAGAATACGTCATGCGAAAGATATGATTCTGACAGGAAGGTGAGCGACCGCCTGTGATCACAGAGGGATTCTAAAGAAGTATAGTCTATCACTTATAGAATTGTTTAAGTCTCGCTTGAGGATGGCCGTTCCCAGCAGCATAACCATCTACGCCACAACGGGGGCGGCTTCCTACGCCGGTATAGTAAACTAGCGCCTCCACGTCGCGTATTGAGGGCACTGACTATCGCCTGATCGAAGGCCTCCTTAAGGTCGTGTTGCGTCAACGCGGACGTTTCCACATAATTAACGGCGCCTAGTCTCTGCGCCAACTGATGACCCTGGATAGCGGTGATTGGCGCCCGGCCGTATCTCGTTAATTGCAGCATCAGACGCACGTCCGATCTCAAGTCGCTTTTTGTTCCTACCTAAAATAGAGAATTATAACAATGATTAATGTATGTTGTATATTATGGCGTCAAAATTATATTTATTACATGCGATTGTAATTATTTCAAGAATATATTATCAAAGTTTAATTTCATGATTAGAATTACAATTTTGTTAGAGTAAAAAAACTAAGTATATGAAATGTTATTCTAAGAAATTAGATAAAATATTTGTAAGCTGAATTGTACCAAGATGACTGGAGCATTGGGACAGTATTTTCGTACTTCATTGATCCATCTAGATGCTACACTGTGATAAGACGAAGGGCATACAACGCTGAAGCAAACTAGGAACACATCTGTCTCTGGGTAGCACAGCGACCTCAAGGGATCAAAATCATCCTGACCTGCTGTATCACATAGCTGCACGTTCAAGGGCTGCCCATCGACATTTACGACCACTGGACAAAAATTACAAAGATATTAGTACTGTTAATACACTAATATTGAAACTGATAAAGAGAGCATTAATATGTTTATATTCATTTGCTGAGGATAAGATAAAGGCATGAAAGAGAAAAGAGATTGCAACTAAAAGTCAATCATGAAGGAACAAAAGTAAATTCTTTACGAAACTTACACAATGCACATTATACATATATTCAAAGAATTACTGGTTATTCTACAATAATTTGTGTAATACTGCACTTCATAACAAAGTATATATATTGCTCCAAGATATGTATCTCTAAATCATAATCCCATGCGTCAGAGCCACATGATTCCATAGCGAACATATCCAAAACTGTACAAACCATTGTAATTGTCAAATGCAGTTGGTACATATTCCCCAGGAAAGCCGTTTGTGGAGTACGAGACCACCAGACTGGTCTTACCGACCGCACCGTCACCCACCAGAACTACTTTGATTCTCCTATCAAGCGGCGTCGTGGGATGCTCCGCTATATTTTGATTCTGTGCTCCGACACCGGCGCAAGTGGCCGCCGACGACGTCGTCGTCGCTGTTGCTATCGTCACCATCGTCGTAATCGGCTGCTGCTGCTGCAGCTGCTGCTTGGCAGCCTGCATCTGCGTGGTCTGTCCGCTCTTCAGCAACGGCTTCGTCCAGTTGGTGTGCGAGGACGGCGGCATTGTCTCGCTTTTGATCTTGCCACAGCCGCGACCTTTCATGCGTACGAGGCTGCTCCTCGTGCAACTTCTCGTATAACCTCTTCCGTCCTCCTCTTCCCTGACGCCGACGTGGACGACGTCGTTGCCTTACCTCAGGGCGCCGTTCTGGAGCAGCGTTGCAACATCGCGCACGTCATGTCTCTCTGTTCCTGGAACAGTGTCGTCGAAAAGCGTGTAACTGGCCGACCTGGTGCGTTTTCTTTAACCGCGACGCGATACGCCGATGTTGATGCAAAACGAGACGCGAACGAGCCGACCGAAAACAGGCGGCGGAAAACAATGGAAACTGGTCCGTGAGAGCCGTGGTCGCGCGGCGCACAAAAAGCCAGCAACCGACGATTCACCTGCCGCGACGCGGAGCCACCTGTTATCGCGCCCCCGCCTCCTGGTGTGCGCGCCACTCGTCAGTGTCGGTCGCGGTATGCATGGCTGATACATACATGACGGGCGAAGACAGGTGGACATACACGGACGCGCTGCATTGCGTTGCAAGACGCGTTCTTTAACTTTCTTGGCGCGAGCGCATTTGCAATCGCAATTATGCATCGTAACAACGGATGAAAGACAATTTCGAGGAAACTTTTGCCGTCGATAGACGATATAGTATTTCAAGAAGAAATAATCCGCGAAATTCGGAGCAACAAAATTTCGAAAATCATTGCATTCTCTCAAAGAACTGGATGTTGTCAGTAAAATTCCGCGAGGAACAAAGCGAACTGAAGTAAGCTACTGATTTCAACTCCAAAAATGGACATTCTGAGCTCTGATAGGTCCGTCTGTGTATTAGGCAAACATGATTTTAACGAAAGTTGACGCATCTAAAAACGTCAGTGCGAATTTTTACAATTTTTGTCGTACTTATCTGCGCTAATAATTTGCTACTAACAATTGTAGCAATAAATAATAGCGTACTTTTAGCAATATTATCATCTAATAATTCAACGAGAATTATTAAAATAGTTATATTTCTTATTAATTACGGTATTTGGAATTCACGCTAAAATATAAAAATTTTTGTTTTCAGATTTATGTCAAATTTTCTTCATTTATCGTTTTATTCAACAAAGATGAGAGTTCAAGAGCAATTAATTTCGATGAAAGAAAATCGAACTTGAGGGATGAGCGTCAGTGAGCGCGCGTTTAAATCTAGAGTCGTGTTTACGTTACGTTGCGTTACGTATAACATGCCTGTAAGAAGAGCAAATAATGAAAGAAAAATTTCATCACAAAATTCGCAAACTAAATAACATAAAATAAATTACAAGATGCTTACGAATAATATACGGAGGTTGGATCTTCTTACTAGGTATATTTCACTGTTATTTGATTGCAATTCGACGATTTTAACTTGTGATTTTACTCTAACCTCTTGACATAACCTCTCAATTTTTTCTAGAGGATGCCGATATTGCTATTCCTTGCTAAAAATAGCGCCAAAATCGTCGGCGAGACTTGTCAGAAGATGTAGATCATTCGTTAATACAAGGCATACCAAAAATACTGCTCGAAGATGGCGATTTATTATGCCAACTGGAATTGGATTGTCGCTACTCGCAGGAGTACAATGGAATAACTTGCACAAATATGGATATCCCGTTCATGTAGACGATAGGCCAGAACTGCTCAATGATGTTATGGTAATGCCATGTCAAATAATGACAGATATCTGTGCTAAATTATCGCATTGCTATTAAATAAGAGATATAAAGTTTTCTTGTCATAGGTAACATGTTATTGTTGCCTGCCACTGAGAACAACTAGCAGAGTATGGGGATGGCTGACAAGCATTGAATTGCCAGTGAGTTTGAGGCCAACATTATACACATTTTACGCAAACTTGTTTCACGCCAATCTGGACGAGATGGAATTGGATCTATCTGCTTTTCCGAACCTGGTAGAATTTTTCGTCAGGGCACTTAAACACAATGCGAGACCCATTGCTCAAAATACAAATATGGTAACTATTTATTGCAGGCAGTTCATTAATTATATCTTAATTGAACTTGATGCAAACATTAATATATTTTACTGTAAATTTAATCTAGATTTCACCTGCGGATGGTAAGGTTCTTTATTTTGGACCAGTGACTTCCTGCCGTGTGGAGCAAGTGAAAGGAGTAACGTATGATCTTAGACAGTTTTTGGGCGACTCAAATAGTTTCTTACTGAATAAAATGTCAAACCAGGCAGATAAGGACGATTATGTTAATTCGCTCTTGAGGAACCCAGATAATAGATTGTATCAACTGATTATTTACTTGGCACCCGGTGACTATCATCGATTTCACAGTCCCACAGAGTGGAACATAAAATTCCGACGGCACTTTCCAGGTGTATATTTAGTCTTTAAAGCTAGTCTATACAATTTATTTTTCTGACTAAATCGTTTTTCTTTTTTTTTTTCAGGAAAGTTACTGAGCGTCAATCCCAAAGTGCTAAAGTACATGCCTAACTTGTTCTCCTTGAACGAGCGCGTCGTGTACGTCGGAGAATGGTCGGGCGGCTTCATGGCTTACACGGCGGTCGGGGCGACAAACGTGGGCTCTATAAGAGTCTACTGTGACAAGAACTGGCGACCAATAAAGTGCAGTTCCCGGAAACCCTGCACTGGAAAGAGGCGAGCTTAGACTGTGCTCGAGTGGCCAAAGGCGAACTGTTCGGCGAATTTAGACTCGGATCCACAATTGTGCTCTTGTTTGAAGCACCACAAGACTTTCGGTTCAACTTGCAAATCGGCCAGACTATCAAAGTCGGTCAGGCACTGAGCGCGTGTTCCAACGACGAGCCTGATGAAAGACAGATCGAACGACGGCACTTAATTATGAATGTTGCGTACGACTGGAGAGATATATGGAGACCCAAAATAGCATGATAAAATAGGAAAGCTATTTCATTTTTACTCGAGAAACACTCGCATCTTTGCGCGAAGCGTAAATAGAATAAAGAAAGGAATTGTATATTGGATGATCGCGCTATACGCTAGGGACTTGATTTTTTTTTTTTTTTTTTTTTTTGAGTACGTAAGTATCGATTTTGCGATTACTTCTGTGCCTAATTATGCCTTTGCGCGGAAAGTCATCGTCTTGTGCATTTATCTGAAATTACATGTAAATATATAATACGAGATTAGGCTCATTCGCTACTTTAATTGCGCGATATCGGGCATCACGCAAAGTGATTTATAATAGTTTTGACACAGTTAAACTTATTGCAGCGTGTACGACGAGCGAACTATATAACACATGTGCATCTTTGTACGGCAGCAATCTTTGTACGATTGCAAATAAAAAAAATCATACGGGACCACTGAAATACGTTCGTATTTCTCTCTCCTCCTCGTGCGTCATTACCGATAGAGGTCGGATCGTAAGCTGTTTCAGTTGCATGCCAAATCGATCTTCGTTCGCAGTTAAGTCGGCCGGTCAAGGCCGTTAGTTGAAACACTTTCCTCAATTAAAGCCCTCTAGTTCTTTTTTTTAAACCAGAGAGTAGCAGGCACGTCGCATACCTTAAGTCTTCGCGCGCACGAAGCGCCGGTCTGACTGACCCGGTTATTGCGGGGGCAATTTTTTATCCGATTCCGTATCGTTAATATTAATGTTACTTCTGGAAAATTCACTTTAAATCGGGATATTCGGACTTGCACGCGCGAACATGACTCCGCGCTAAAGCAGAATTAATTATAATATCTGATCACAGGGATATATATTTTACGATGCATAATGAAAAAGCCATTAATACTGCATACCGTAGCAGCTCTCCTGTCACGTGCAATAATAATCAGTATATTTGATAAATTTATTCCATCGATATTCCATTCCGTCGTTTTATTATTTCTCCCTGTCTGTTTTAATCAAATTTTCCGCATTATTATTTGAATAATTTGCGATATTCCATGTCGTCTCTTCGGCAAATATTAATTTATTTGCAGTACTGCAATACACATATCTGAATTAATCCTCATAGTAATCCCTCTCTTTGTTCCAGAAAATTGTAAACCGTAACCTTCTCCCGTCCCGCTGCGCACCACGTAAGCAGCACCCATTAGTAACATGACTTTGATGTACATACTCCTTGCATAATGCAGTCTCCAAGTAAACCTAAACGACGCAATCAATGACGGACTTTGTTGAACGATAAATCAGATATAACAATTATTAACAGAGGCAAGTTACATTATTCGATTGTATGCTCGAAAAGATCGATACCTTTATATTTTTAGCTAAAATCCATTAATTTTTAACCGACTTTCAATATTCAAAGCATACTCTCGTGAGTTTTGACAATTTGAATTTATCTTCCTTTATAAATTTCAACATGTATTTAAAAAAAACAACTTAATCTTCCTTGAAAATTTCCTTCGCCGATTTAAATTTACCTCCCATGCAAATTTCGGCTCATTGATTCATCCTTCCTACTCGTGTACCGCGTGAACGTTAATATCAATATCCTTTTCCAGCGCAGGATCTCTTCATCCTTCCTCGACCAGACCCATGTTTATTACTATCAAGAATTGGATTTTATGAGCAGGGAAAAAAAGGGAGGAAAGCTCTCGTGCGGGTCGGCGTCGCAAACGTCAAAGCGTCGCTCGGCAGATCAGTGAGCGTCGCGACGTCCGCGGCGCAGGTTGCACCGCCTCCTCTTCTTGCGGTTCGCCGATAGTACGTATCGGTGCGTCGAGTAGGACGCTGTCGCGACGGACACCGGTGATACCGCATGCATGCGCGGCCACGAGGTGCCCTTTTCCCACGCTCACTGAGGTGCCGAGACTCCGGGCAAATCCGGGCGATTATTATGGAATACTTGAGCGGCGGCTAAATGGGGGCCGATGGACATTTTCGCGTGACCTTATCCCTCAGGAGGGAACCGGACGCCGGTCCGGTCTACTGCAAGATGGAGACGTCTGCGAGGTTCCGGCAGCTGAAGACGGTGAAGCTGAGCTGCGAGACGACCTACCGGCTCGACATCAGCTTCAAGCCGCCGCAACTGCTGCAGTGGGTACAGTGAATTATACTTTATGTTTATCGAGCGCTGCCCGAATGAGGTGTCGAGGGGGTTTTTTTTTAAGGAGGCGGTGAGATCGCGTCGCGTGATTTTGGGCTGTTAGGCGACAGAATGGATTATATTTCATTTGAGGAGATATATGGTCGCTCTCTCTAAAAATCCACCGCATTTATAAATTTCTTTAACTATTCTTCATAAAATTCAACTGCATTATTGGAATTTTAATGCACTCAGAATATATACGTACGTATATTAGATTCTGAACATATCTACGACTAGCGTGATCTCAAGTGTGATTTGCTATCTAATTTAACGTCAAGCCATTCGATTTATCCGCAGTATATCGAATAAACGCGAAAAGTGTTATCTGTTCGTTCCGAGAAGAGTCAGGAAAAAGTCGCATTCAACTAATAGCAATTTATCCGAAATTTATACGACTATTTTCGGCACGAGAGATGGAACAAGAGCCGGCGATAAATTTTAAGTCTGAGCTTCTATACTCTAGGGATGGAGATTACGATTTCTCACCGTACATGTTCCGACCATATGTGCTCGGATGTAGAATTGCTAATGGCAACTCAATCGCGAGATAAAAATAAATTGAACTGCCGAAAACGTTCACTTAATGCCGTGCTTAATGAGCAAAAAGGATCGTTCGCCCTTCAGTTTTTCTTCACGCTGCGACAGAATTCTCAAGATACCGGCGGTTTTTATCGTTAGTTTCACGGATAGCTGAATTCTAGCGACGCTTACTAGGCGGAATCGAGATCGGACGAACGCGTATGAAAGAAAATGTCAAAGCGTTCTACTAAATACAGTGGATTAATTCATACTCGTGGGAAATTATCGAAGTTCATCGTGGAAACGTTGCACTCGTCGTTTTTTATACATCGAGATCGCATTACGTACACGCGACGCTTTCATTATTAGCCGCAACGTGTATTCGAATGTTCGCAGTGCGCGTCTCTATCGCGTGGAATTAAAATCAAATAAACGCGTGCGAAAGTGTCAGAGCCAAGTCGGTTTGCATCGGCGTGCATTCATCGAAATTCATCGCTCGAGTGGTTCGCTTTTATAGAACGAGACTGCATTACGTATACGCCGATTCCGGTGCGCGATAAGCTACCGCCCTCGCGCGTAGTTTGTAAACGAGCGCGAGTCCTCGAATCGGGCAGCGCACGGGGTTGTACACACGCTTTCAAACGTGCGAGCACGCCAGCTGCGACGGCACTCCGGCCACGAACGCGTGAAACATAGTGTTATCGCCTTGAACTGTAAAAGTTGCTCCAGTCACGCGGGATCGATCGTGATTTTACACGCGGACGAAGCCTGTAAGACCGGCTGATCGATGGTGCATCCGCTCCTCCCCCCCGCGAAGAAAAGGCAACGATCAACCTGTGCTTGACAATCGGCTTGTTTTATCGCGCAGGCACTGAAACATGATGGATGCGTCTTTTGTGTGCCGCAATCATGTGCGCCGCGTAATTAGTACGTGTCGCGCGAGGGTGGATTGAATCAAGCTTGAGATATTGCCCGTTTATTTCGATACCCTCTTCGGTAATGAGAGCCGTTGATAAATATCGCGCCGTAATTGCGGCAATAAATAGCAATCAAGTTGCCATGCGAGGGATCGCAAAATAATGCCGCGTGGGATGATGCGAAAGATAACGAATGCGACACCGAAAGTCGCTTCAACGAGTATTGGGGATTATTGCGGGGGATCTCCGCAATCGCGTAATCAAAGCTGTTTAATGTACTCATTTCGTTTTCGCGGTGTTTTTATTTCTCTTGCTCTTCAAAAACTGCGAAAGAAATCTACACCCGTCCTGCTAATAGAAATACTAATGAAACGCGCAACAATCTATAATAGGCGACACATTGTCGGCAAAGTGAAGTCTAAAGATACACCACGTGACCCTCCGACCTCAACGAGGAAGCCACGCAAGGTGGTTCCGATTCGCAATTTGAGACAACAATGCAGATAATTAAGATAAATATACATGAGCCGAGAAAAAAGAAACGGGAACTAAAGAATAGGAAGCTTAGATTTGTTTCCTTTCCGGCCGTCAGTTAAATATTCCACGGTGATTTACGATGAATAGATGCGATCGCGCGATTTGCACGCGTTGAACCCGAAAAATCGAATATGGAAATTGCGAAGATAAATGTAACGCGCATAAATATTCCAGGCTACTCCGGTGCAATCACGATGTCGGAAGTGTCCGAGTGATCTTCGACAAGTCACGGAGGCTCGCGTGTCTCCGCGGCAGAAATATAGCAGTTTCCCCGTGTCATTTTCCTTTTCTGGTTGATGGAAAACTCTTGGAGAAATTCGACTCTTCTTCTCCGCGCTATCGCCGGAATCTCGTGGAATTTTGAACAGCTGCCCGGATTATGAGTTCAGATCACGCGATGCACTCTTATTGCTTGGCCCGCTTTTCGATTTTCGTCGTGGGCGCACGATAATCGACGATCCATTCCGCAGGGATGAAAACAGGAACTTTGTTACTAAAACTTGATTAAGAATTAAATAGTAACGCGGACAAAGAAGAGTGGATAGTTCCTCGAACGTGGGCGTTAAACGTCGAACGATTAAACTTTAATAATAAACGACGGTAAGTTCGCTGTCTTTGTTTCTCTCGCTGCGATATTTCCCGCGGAAGAAAGTAAGGCAGGAGGACACGGGCAGATCGTGGACGAGCTTATGATCTTACAAGCTGCTACATTTTTTACGAAATAGTGCCACGTCGACCGTGCGCGCGTTTAGCCGAGAGGACCGAACGCGAGTCCTGACGTCTCGGCCTCATCTCTTATTTTAGATGCAGCTTTCGCAGATGAATTGTTGATGCCTAAACTTGGGCGATGTATTCTGTAAGACACACAGCTTTGTCTGTGTCTCAACAACTCTTATTTTCGCAAAATCTTTCTGACAATCACTTTTACGTCTTTTTCAACATATTATTGTTTCTTCTTTCAGTCACATTGTCTATTTCGATGAATAATGAAAAAAATATATAGAACAGCAAATATATATATATATATATATATATATATATATATATATATATATATATATATAAATAAATAGAGAATAAAATTGAAAATAAATAAATGTTTAATCGTCTGTCGAATTTATACTTATTTAATTTTTCAGCGATTTAATTACGAGTTAATTGAGTGATTTTGTTTGAAAATGAATGTACCGATAAGGTCTGCAAAAGCCAGTGCATCTGCATATTGCAATTATTAATTTATAATTAAAATAAAAATCTCTCTCTTCAAAAACATGTTGATGTTATTGTTAAAAGTTTCTTGATAAAAAATAGAACGCACAGATTTTCTCGTATCGTATATCACGTGTTGGTATCATGTTTGTTTTTTTTGTACTCACGGGATTCTAACTGGCCGTCTGCTTCTAGATAATAATCCGATTCCTGCCGCGCGGTTGTTTATCTCCGATGATAAGCCGATACACGCGACTGATACGCGGTGTAGGACTGCACGCGCAGATTATTTGCACGCATTTTCGACGTCGGCTTCGTGAAAACTCTATAAATAAAGTCAGTCGGAGCATGAGTCAAAGTACGGTTGTGCCCACATGATTTGCTAGATCTGATTTCAGAGGTCTAAGCTAAAGAAACGGGAGCCGTTCTAAAGTTATAGGTATAAATACGGAGCTGTCGATCTAAGAATCGAAGTAGTCCATAAATACAGCCCGGCGAGATACTGATGCAACATCCGAAAATGCTGGCCGCGTAGTCAGGATTCGAAAACCCAAAACTGCAAGAACGATGATTCTTAGAATCAAGATTCCACACAGTTGCTGTATAAAATTTTATATAAATGCTAAATTGCATTTTTTTTAATCTTTCAAAGCAGCTAGTTTTTTTTTTTCTCTTTGTTTGTCTACAATCAAAAGCGCCAAATATTATAAAATTGTACAAAATAATGTTCGAACATCCCTTCTTTTGGTTGGAAATCTGACTTCTGTTATCCTCGCCGAACTGAAACGCTATTTTTAAACAAGCGTATTTTTATGACGTGTTTTTATAACGTGTTTTTATGACGAATTGACTTACAGAAATGTTACTGGTGCACATAATCGTCGATTCGTTTATCTTGACGTTATGCCAAGCATGAGAAAAAAATATTACCAAAGTACACACACGTGGCAATGATTGCGCTACGCAAAATATCTATTTTCGCTTCTAAAAAGAAGAGTTTTACGCCGGAAAGCGTACGCTCGTCGCGCATTGAGGCTCGTATCACCTTGGTCGTTCGAACTTTTGCCTCGGTTCTCACTTCGCAGATAGATAATATGCCGAATAAACAAATGCTCCTTCAGAAATAAATAACTAGCTTTGTCGAGAAGGAACAGGTCGTCAAATAGAATAGCACGAATATGGACGATAAGCAAACTTTCTTCGCTCTTGTAAAGGCATACGTTTAAAAGCGTACTTTAAAATGAACATAGCGATGTAGAAACCCAATCGATTTTCTTCGCCTTTGTATTTCCTAACTCAAGGTTTGAGACAAAATAAAAAAAGTTACTTTGATATAATATTATAATGTAAAAAGTGCTTTGCAAATTGTGAAAAATTTAATATTTTATCTTGGCGCGACTTCAATTTGAAAGGATTAGTTTATGTGGAAATAATTGTAAACTACGTGATATCATAATTATGATTATAATATAATCACGTATTTGGTGCGATGAAGCGTATTAACTGAATAAAGCAATCGTATTATAAGCGTAATAATGTACTGTTAAATAAGCAGATTATTGGCGATTATACAATTAGTAAATATAGAAATATTATTTAATCAGCACAAGAGTAAATTATTCGTCTGTAACACATTTCCACGCGATTTTTCGGAATAATTACGCTTGAGATCTCAACGCTTTAATTATCTGTAAAACGCGTGGGATGTTATATAAATGAATAACATATAAAGTAGATAATTGCAACAAAAATAATGCAGGGAATATAATATTATGAGACTAAAGTGGCAAAAATTTGAATAAAATTTAAAATACGCATCTTTTCTCGATAGGCAAACTTAATATACTTTAAACGGAACATGCTTCCTAAGATCTGCGATCTTTCCAGGTCCCTGAGCATCGGCGGGAAACCGGTGGAGGCGATCGAACGTGCGAGGAACGGCACGGCGTGCGCGTACAGCGCTTATCACAGCACGAAAGATATCCAGGCGAGCGCGCGCGGTCATCGGGAAGATTTGCCGATTGCCATGCGAGTGCTCGGCTCCGGTCATCTCTCCACGTGCTTGCAGATCAAGTACTACCGGGCGGATGATCAGAGCCACTGCGAGTGGGGCGCCAGACTGCATTGCATCGAGCTCGACTGCTCCAGCGTCGAAGGACGTCTCGTCACGGTAGATCGGGAGACCTACAGGAAGCTCGGCATAGAATCCTAACGAAGGCTAGCCTTCGTTAGGATTCTATGCTTCGCGATTGTTATCGGTTCGTTATTTGGCGACGAGAAACCAGACGCCGCGCCGCGCCGCGCCGCAATCGATGTCCCTTGCACGCGATCGGCCGACTACTTTACGCTAAACGGTGAATGCAAACTGAAGCAGGGCCTATCTTACATCTAAACGAGCCTAGGGCCTATTTTGGGACTCGTACTTTCTTCCCAGAAAGATTTCTAAACAAATATTAAATGAGATAATATTGATAATAGCAATAATAATCTTTGCACATTTTTATCTAAATTTTAGATTGCGATAGCAATGGTTTCGTTTATTAATATAAGAAATAAGAGCCTACAAATTTTATCTATTTTCAATCATTCAAGGAGAGATCTTGGAACGTTAATCGAGGTGTCAGATTACGCCTGTGTTTCTTACATTTTCATTAGAATAATTTCAATCCGGTATTATGAATATAAATCACATAGAAATTTCGCGGAAGTCTTATCACGATCGACGGATAATCGATCGTTGCCAGCTGACAAACAACATTGCGTTCAGTGATGTGGATTTAAGAGAAGTCAGGCGCAAATTGATTTGAAGATATGCACACATTCTCTCTCTATTTCGGAAGATTGAATCTTCCCAAATCGAGAAAACTTCCCAAATAAAAGGAAGTATTGTTGCTTTTAGAAATTAATGACGGTTTAAACATTGTAATTTTATACTCTGAGACTCCTGAAGAGACGTCTATTCCTGTGCGTTATTGTTTTCGGCCGATATTTTTCAGCCGCTCTTTAGCAAGGACCTGCTACTAATTCATGAAAGGAAAACAAACTGTATACAAACACAACGAAAACGCAGCACTCGTATTACGGCACCGTACTACATACTATGTATTGAACGCGTGCATATATGTCATCGATTGACGATTAATATTTAATTGTCTGGTGAATCAATCGCGAGGCAATACGCCAGAATAACGTGTATTTTTATTGAAACTATCGAGAGAAAAGTATATCAGCGGCGCGATGTCAGCTTTCGTAACTTTACGATTGAAGTGCACTTTCGGTGTGCATTATCGCTTCGATGTTATTTTTCTCATTTATAACGATTCCCGCCTCGTTCTTTTATTTATATGTTTGCACTTTGTCAGAAAATTCAAGATCTTTATATATTAATCTTCGAGAAACTTCTCTCTTGTTAAAGCAAAGTCCGATAAATTTAAGAAATGCGGGCGACTCGCGTATATATATATATATATATATATATATATATATATATATATATATAAACTAATTGTAGAAGTATTTTAAAATATATCTCGCTATGTAATTCGACGCGCCTAAATACTCGAAAATTTTGGCAATCAGCAAAGTGACCAATCAACGCCTTTACGCTTACTGTAATCGTTTCTACTCTCTCTTCTTATTCATGAATGTATATACGTACCTGCATTTTTAATATACGCATACGTATATATACGAGGTGGAATCCAAAAGTAACGCATACATTTCATGTCATCATCGTGATTTTTGCTTGTGTTTGGATTGCACGACGCATATATGTATATGCATACACATAAATAAATATCTTATACTTTCTAACTGTGACAGAAATACATTCTGTAAAAAAATATGTCGTATGCTCTCGTATTAAACTTAATTATTAATTAAACTTATCAACATTATAAACCTCCGTAAGAATTACGATTAACTAAAATTGTAATGAATAAATTACGATTAAGTAAAAAAAAAAGATTTATAATTACACAAATAGAAAATTAATAATGCGTCGATTTTAACGAAAAAGTATCATTTTAATAAACCACTGACATTTTTTCGCCATTCTTGTTAAAAATAGCGTAAGATTCTTATTGATAAAATTCCGATTATCAAAGACGAGATCTTCACGGTAATCACAAAGCACTTAAACGTCAAGATTGAAAAGAAGATATTTTACTCACACAAAACAGATGCAGAATCACGTTGCGTCAGTTCAGATATCCTACACTTACAACGACGGTGTGTAACACAACAACTTGCTCGCGATGTCTTTGTTCCGAGACTGCTCGACGCGCGTCCGCCAACTCACCGCCGTCTTGCTTGTGCGCTTCAGATACATCGCCGAGTGATGAAGCGCGATTGCGTAGGGAATCGGACACCACGTCTCCTTGACCGTTCCGTGGAACAGCGCCTTGATGTAACTCTCAATGAGCGACACGTCGTTCTCCTCCGGATAGAGAATATTCCTTCAGCGGCACCATTAGCTTCTCCACCGGCAGTTTCAGATACCGCAACGCGGCCGCGTGTTCCGACCACAGCAGTTTCCGGTAGTGCGCGTCGTGCCGTTGCGCCACCGGCACCAGCAACGCCATGGCGAAGCCGTCGTCGCCGTAGGAGCTCGAGTAGAAATGCTCGCACAGCGCCGTGAACAGATCGGTGAAGGAGCTCAGCCCCGGCAGCTCCGTCTGGAAGTCCAATCGCGTGTGATACCTCCTCAGCAAACTCGACACGACGTTCACCAGCAGCGTGGATACGTTCTCGGACAAATACACGGTGTCGCAGAGATACACCAGCACCAATCTGCTGAATCTCACAGTGGGCGGCAGCTTCTCCATGAGATCAGGCAGAACCAACGCCAGACTCAGCACTATCGAAACGTCGTCCCACTCCTCCCCCTGCACTTTGACGTCGTTCTTGCATTTGTTGTATATGTGAACCAACGGCAGGAAGAGCCAATCTTTCGGCATCGCCGCTTGATTCCAGCCGCCGTTCGGAATGATGTATCTCTCGTACCGCGACGCCGTGTCGGAGCGTAAACCAATCTTCGCCCGATCCACCGCGGACGTCAAGTCTAGCCTGGCCAATTCGTTGGTGATTATCTCCAAGTGCACTTTCTCGTTGGACAGCGCGATTTGAAGAAGCTCCCTCACGCCGCTCGTAGCGTCCGCCGGCAAAGCCGAGATGAGTTTAATGGCAATCTTCCATACGATTTGCGCCGTTTGTTGGTCAATCGCGTCTCCGAGAAAGGACGTCGCTCTTACCACCGCTGTTAAGAGATCTAATTCCGTTCTGCTGTACCATGATCTTTCCAGGCTCCACTCGGTCGCTTCCAGGTCTCGCATGTATTTGCCGAAAGCAGGATGCTGCAATATCGCACCGATTTCTCGACCGTGACGATTACTATTGTTAAACGTGCGCAAGACCGTTGTCAGAAATGGTATGCACGAATTTACAGACATGATCGGCTGCAGTTCACCGTTTTCCGTAAGAACACCAAGATTCGGCAGGCAGGATGGTTCTCGATTCGCAGCCGAATTGCAGTCGCTCAGTAAATTCGAACTGGAGCTGTGAAAGATAAACAGGTGTCGTAAAGATTGTTTTCTTATGATACAGTGTACATCATGTGGAAAAGAATATTTACCGAAGCGTCGAGAAGACACTCTGATTGGTTAACCACGTTGTTCTGAATTCGGATATCTCATCAACAACGGATAAAGTTTCGGCAATTAATTTCATAACGCCCCACTAAAATTTATACTTCATAAATATCTCATCAATTATTTATAGATATTAATAAATGTTAAGATAAAAAGTTAGTGTTGAGAAAAAGTGTTAAAACTATATACAGAATGTAAATTGATACATATACATTTAAAAAAATTTTTTGTTTTGTTTTTTCAAGCACAAATATATTGTTCAGATGATTAAATTAATTAATAACTCACAGTTGTACTAGACATCGATGAAAATTGAGTGCTCCATTTTGCTAATAACGTAGATAGTATTGGTTTCAATGTTTTTTCGCGACTCGCTACGGCAATCAATGCTGCAGCATGTTCGCACGCTAACTCGGACGCGTTTTGGATATCGTGATTACTCAGCAGCAGCTGTAATTGTGACATGAGAGTTAACAGAGCGCCCGCGACACTGTCCAGCCCTATTCCGTGATGCAACATCATTCGCCAAAGTCGCAGACTTTCGATGCTGAGATTTATATCATCTTTCTTACTGAAATATCAAATGTTTTTAATAAAATATAGAAAATAAATGCGGATTATGTGCATATAAATGAGAACGTATTACGTAAACAAGAAAGCTTACCCCGTTTCGCTGCTAATGTAGGATAAAATGACCTTAATAATCTTAAAGTTATCCAATTTCTGCACGACGGGCTTCTTGCCGTACATAACGAGAACGCGACATAATTTGATCGCCTGAATTACGGGGATTCCGTAAACGTCATTTATCGCGTCTTGCATCGCTGTAAAATACATCAGGCTCTCAAGTTGCTCCAAACATAACTTATCCAAAGATCAGTAAATTTTACATCAATTATTTTCAATATTCAAGTGTAAACTGCGGTACCTAATCGACCTGTCGATAGCGGCATAAAATTACGGATAATGGTATCTAACAAATATCGCGTCGACGAGATATTCAACGCTGTTATATGTGAGTGTCTCGCGAGACGAATGAGTATCTCTAAAGCGCATGTTACTCCAACGGGTGGTGGATGCATCTCATTCAGGATGTACCTGCAAATAGTTGCACTTCAATTAGTTTCATGTGCTTGAAGAAGATATTAAACCTACTAGAATATTGTCAATTACCAAGTCACAAATAACCAATTAGAAAAGCTACGACAAATACCTGACTCTTAACAGGAAATCCGATCTCAGTAACATAGCCACAGCGTCCAACTGCACCAACTCGTGGTCCATCAGACTACTCGTGTCCTTGTCCTCGAGTTCCGGCGTCAGAGTCGGTTCCACGTATTTGTCGAGTCCCTGCAGTCTGTCAAGGCATACCTCATCCGCTTCGCTAACTAGAAAAGCTCTAAGTGCTTGCAGAGCCGCCGTGACCACGGCTATGGACGAATCGTCCAACGAGAACCTCAGCAGCAGAAGAATATTCTTTTGACTGAGCGCAATCAACGGCGCTGGATGTAGAGCCTTGTCGTACCAACCATTGCGCGCTTTCTCCATAATGTTGGCTAAGGTGGTAAGAGCTGTGCATCGTTGCTGCTGAGTGGAAGATCTACTCAGCTGCAGCAGCTCTTGAAGAGAATATCCAGGCCGTTCCGGTTCTTCTCCATGATGGTGGAGGCCTTTGTCTACAGTTAAGCTCTCGTCCTTGTATGGCAATAAAAACCCTAAAAAAAAAAAACAATATAAGAAAAATATTTTTACTTTATTTGTCGTGTTGATGCTTTCAGTAGTAGAATAGATGTATGTAACTCACCATTAAAGTCAAATCTTGCATTGTATTCCTCATTCGGTGCAGGTTTGTCTTTCTTTTCCACTGGTAAGTCTTCCATCCATTTCAACTTTTCTGGTTCCGGAGTATCCATGTGTAGCCATCCCTTTTGTTTGCTTTCTTTCAATATCTTTTTGAGTACTTTAGGTATACTCGATGTATCGTTTTCACAATCCATTTTCGCAGTGTCATTGCTTAAAAAAAGCTTCTTCTCTTCGTCACTTGAGACTTCTGTATTCATTACTGTTTCTTTTGCAGCTAAAATGCTTGATGTATCATTTTCACAATCCATTTGTGTGTCACTCTTGTCGTTCGAAGAAAACTTTATCTTTTTACCGCTAGATACTTCTGTATTTATTATTGCTTTGTTTGCAGCGGATACATTTGATTGCATACCGCTCTGTTCTATTGATCTTTTCCCAGATTTTCTATTCTTGTTCTTCAAGAATTGTATTATTTTGGGATCAAGAGTTTCCTCAAGCTTTTTCTTTTCCTCTAGTATTTCTGCTTCACTCATTTGAGCCAGCTTTTCCAAATTTTCTTTATGAATTTCATTAGTTATTTGATTATCAATTGTAACATTCGAGTCTTCCTTGTTGCGGTGTGAAGATTCATCCTTCTGAATTTCCACTGAAGCATCTGTGAGAGGTTGCAGTTTTTGCCAAAACAAACTTTTACCACTGGTCTTCTACAAAGTAAGAAAATAGTATAATAGATGTAAAAATAATACTGACAATATACTTCATAGATGTAACATACTTTTTCCATATGTGCCACATTGTCAGATCCAAAAACTTGAGGAAATCCTAATTTATTTGTGGCAGAAACATGACTGTCGACAAACTTGTACTTTTCTACATCAAATTTCTTTTCTACAATATTGCCGAGTATAATATTTGACGATATCATTGGTATATTCTGTACCATATCTTCTAGCTTCTTTTGTGAGTTTTCCTGAATCTTGTCTTTTATAGCAGAATTTATCACGTCGCCACTTCCTTGTGAAGTTGAAACTATATCTTGTTTTTCCATCTTTCTCAAACTTGAGAACTGGGATTTTACTTTGCTCACATTTGGAGTTACCCTTTGAATATTGGTTGATTTTTTTGAATTTATTAGCTTCGTACATGACTGCTGTTTTGCTTTCAAGAATTCTTCCTGCTGTCGTAAAAGTTCCTCCTCGTCGTCATCTGCTTTGGGTCTTTTCCACGTAAATTCGTTAGCCATTTTTTAGGTTATTTTCTTCTAACCTCTCTTCTTAATTTAACAATTTTAACTTTATCACAGCGGAAGATTTCTAGCAAATAAAAACATGATAATTACAGCATTTGAAAAATAATATTACTGCAATGTGCAAATTATAAATGTTATTGTATTAATGTGTTGCTTTATTATTGTTTACTCTGATTAATTATGTGCGATTCAACATGCCTCCATAACTTGGTGACAGCTTGGAAACCATTAAAGCATTCTGAATACATTTAGTACCATCTTAAGATAATTATATTTATAAAAAAAAATTTGTTTATTTCAAGAAATTTCAAGAAATATTATTTCATTAATAATAAATACTTGTAAAAAAATGTGTTTAAAAATTCGCGCCATCTCAAAATTTAATTTGTGTTACTTCTTTTAAATTATGTGCTTCTAATACCGTAACGTAACGTAAAGTTCCTAAATTCATTAATGATATTTAAATTCGCAACTTTAGATTGCTTACCTCTCTTATCAAGATGTTTTTCTAATACAATTCCGGACATTTTGGTCCGTTTATTTTCAATTAGTCGTACAGTTGCAGAACTATTGTTTCTGAAACATAGCGCCGTCATTTAATTATAAATAAGATTCCAGTTATTAAATAACTGTTATTAATATATATGTTATTATTAGAACACAATGTATACTAAAAATTCTTATAAAATAAGTAATATATATTAAATAAAAAATAAATTTTAATTAAAATTTAGGAAATCAAGAACATTTCACCTTTAATTCATAAATTATTTTATTTATCTAGGCACGACGCTGTGGAACATGACGGTATGCAGATACGTACCGATCATCGCAGTCATATATGCGCTAAGTATAAATGCATGAACGCCGATTATGCACAAAAATCGTCGGGGAATAATTAAACACATTCTTTATAAATCATACAATAATTATTCTTTTCTCACACATTTGCTACTACCTTCTTAGTCTAATAATGTGGTCGCATTATAGTCAAAATAAATAGAACTCTTTAATCTTCTTTTTACTTATGAAACTAAAATTGCAATACACCGTATTGCGTTCGATTTTTTTCTGGAATGAAATATAATTCCCAAATTTGCATCGATTTCATATCAACACTCGAAATTCTATGAATAGAGAAACGACTTTGTCACATTCGTTCTGGAAAACATCTTGGTAAGCTCAGAAAACAGATCCAAGCAACAAGCTATCTCGTTTACAGCGTACTTAGTCTCGTGATTATTCTCACACGGATTTTCTTCCGGAAACATTAGATCAAATCTCTGCTTGTTCCTTTAATTGGAAAAATACAATTTCGCCTATATACATATATCGGAACAGATGGCTCTATGCGATTCTTTTCGTTTCTCTTACAAATATGTACATTGCGTGTGTTTATATAAAGCTGTTTTTTTATTTCTTAATGTTCACGATAGAAATGGAAATTTTATCATTAGAAGATAAGCCGAAGTATCCCGTAACGTATCTTCGATAATGTTTATTGTTCTATCTAGATGTAATATAATTTCTGAATTATGCAAAGATACAGAGCGATGGAATATTGCTTCCGTAAGTTTACATGATGATTATTATTTTCTCACAACGAAACAACACTGTTATCTTTTTTTTTTCGCGAGGTATCGATACCTGCATCTCTGAATGTTTTTTTTTTTTAAATATCATTATATAAACCTGAAATGTTATTATGCGTAAAAACGAGGATAACGCGGCGCTTCTTTTGTTCCAATCGGCAAATTCAATCGCTTCGTGTAATCTACATGTAATAACATATTTTGTCGAGTGAAACAGCCGATGAGACACAGCTCTTATCTACAGTCGCAAGTATATACACTAATTACAAATATCGTAACGCGTAGGAATATATTCTGAAAAACGATATCCGCGTAAGCGATACTTCCGTAGCTCGTTCGCAGTCTCATGCTTGTTGCATGAAAATGCTCAGTCAAGAGAGACAAACTCAGCGGCACGGACACTGGTATTATCTTACTTTGGCGCGTAACGCGGCATGGATCTTTGAATTGGGTTACGCTAAGATAGAGAAACGAGATATACGATAAACGCGCGCGGCATTCTGCTCGCGTGACTTCTTCTCTCCCTCGTTACAACCACTTTGGAATAGATATAAAAATCTTTCTACGGTTAAACTGAACCCTACGGTTTGTATCAATTGTATAATTGAGTCAGCTTTTCTTTCAGCTTATCTCCCTGGTCAGCTCACGTAGCTCTTTGTAAACATACACGCACATTTTTGGCACTCGCACGCACACACGCAAGGAGACAGAGACAATATGTATATGTATATATAAGGCACAGAATATACATTACACTTTACGAGCGACACAATACACATACGCGCGGTTGCACAGCCCCGATAAATTAAGAGAGAAGGCGAGGAGATAAAAGGAACTTATATGAAGTTGAGTCCAATATTTAACACATTGAAAACATTGACGATATGTAGAATTCCTAACTATAGATTGCAACGCATTCAACATGTATGATACTCTGAGGATAATTAATTAACCACCCCAGCAAGTTCTTCAAGCAGAAGATAACATAATATAAACGAAACAATGTTACAAATTATTTATGAAATAAAAAAATTTCAATTATTATCTTTAAACGAACTATACTGCTCGACAAAATTTCATTGATTAATATTTCCAACCAAAATCATTAATATACATAAAATTACACAATTATCCGACGTCAAGAATATCTTTACAGCGATCGAAGCACGTTTACAGATTTCAATTAGTTTGTGCCCTAATATTATCACAAAAAAATGAGTCAGCATTCTGCTTCGATTAAAATTACTCTAACTCATTCTCAAGATATTGACCCAACTGCTCTCGTTCAAGTCTTAATAATTACAAAGATCATATGTACATGTACACTGGTCATATATTACTCGGAGTGTAAATAGAAAAGTATACGGTTCACAGTATGTACAGTAAACGTTATCTTACTACAATAAACAATTGCATCATATCCGATAATACGATATAGTTAAATATCATATTTTGCGCCAACACATTTTTGCCGCATCAAAGAGCGAAAAAAAAACATGGATTGAAGATTTGAATAAAAACGCATAATAGCATCCGACATTTACATGGCAGCATTATTAAATTCTTGCAATATATCGCAAGGAATGCTAATAATAACTTCCAACAGATCGCGTGAAACATCATTTTAACGTCTATCAATCTTCAAAAAAGCTCCTGAATTTTCACACAAATTATCTGTTTTTAGAACTACTATTCGCTTAAGAGAGATTGATGTTATACGAGAGAACTTCTCCTGCGAAACGTGTGTTGACCTTTCTAAATACGGTTATATATTACATTAGACAGGCGTCTGTGTGCAAGTATAGTAATACTGTGGACAGTAATATGTGTTTTAACTCGCTTAAGATTAGAAAATACTACATTCACATTCGATCGCCGAAGGACAGTGACCACGCGACCGAAATATTTTTTTTTGATATATAAGACAAATTGCATTTGTAAGATAACTTTCCTTGTTTTTTTTTTCAAAATATACGCGGCATTGCACACAAGGCTTCTTATTACAAGTGCGACGAGCAAGTTGTTTTCTCTAACGCGATTCAATCTTCATCCCACCCACCGTGTCGTTTTCCTTACTCGCAATAATACGCGGTTATCCATCAATCGCGGTTATCCATCAAAACAAAATATTGAGTACAGTCCAAATGTGCGACATCGTATTAATGGAAAGTTGAACAATAAATAATTCATCGGTCGGGTTACTCGTTTGTGAAGTTTCTAAAAAATTTATATCAAATATCCCTCAGTCTTGGACGGTGATTTTTTTTCTTCATTCGTGAATAATTTCGCACATACTATGTTCTTGTTTCAAGGGCCGATAGTCTATAGACAGATGGGGAACCACGTTTGCCGTGAATGTAGTGCAAATGTATAATGTAATTGTAATGAGTAGTAATTGTGGTAGTTTCGGAATACAAACTTTTAATGCGTTTGACTTATTTATACACGCCACTATACTCAGCCCAAGTTCATCAGTCGATGTAGATTGAACTGGCATCTCAGAAATGTGTTCTAAGTAGAATGTAAATTACTACAGCAAGAAAAAAATGATTTTATTTTCCATTTGGAGAAAATTTTATATAAAAAATGACTATGTACAGCCGTGGATCATAAAGAAATTATAAAAATTTTTACCATTTTTCACATAATGGCTATAGTATTTAGACTTATAATTCCTCTTATAATCCGTGATCACTACTGTCGTATCATAGTAATTTGTTATATAAAATTTTCTTCGTGCATGAGGTCTAAAACTATGCAGACTATTTGAAAGAAAAAATGTATATCAAAATGATGATGACAAGTTCAACAATTATACTCTGATACTTTATACGACTTTTCGATAAAAGAAATGACATTGTTATTCAATATTTTAATTGTTGTAAATAATTTATTACCAAAAGTAATTCGTTTCGGTAATATTTACAATTGTAACAATGTCCTGTAATATTTCTTAATATTCCTATTTCACGAATAAGAAACACTGCGGACACAATGACAGTTGCGGTTCGCGAAGAGATCGCGTTACAATTGAAACAGTCGTTCATAACTTTCACCGAAAGCACAGTAATCCTGCGAACGTATTGATGTATATGAGGCACCGTTTTATTATGTACAATCGTACTTGCTACGGGAGGATATATCCACCAAGTGAAAAATAGGTAGTACGATTCCTTTACACGCTAGATTTTCCTTTACGAAAGCTAGAGAATTTAAGCGTCGCGATGTCACACTACTTCTTTCGCGTAACCATCGTCCTTCACGTTGCCATGATGTTTCTCGTTTAACGTTAATGCCGACGCTCGCGGACGACAAAGATGATGACGGCGATAACGATGATGATGAGACGTTTCTCGTGGGAGTAACATCGTGGTCCGTTACAACGTCGTCGCTCTAATTCACCGGACACTTACGCGATAATTCGTTTGTTCGTTCGGCACCGTTGAGTTGGCATAATTCGAAGAGGAGACCTCTGCTATAAGTTTGTAGCGAGCATTCCTCCGGCCCCGCTTGCGAACGCGAGGGGAACGCGCGGAGCGCGTTTGAGCGCGATCCCGGCGTCCGCGGGTGACTGGCAGCATTTTGCGGTTTCCGGCGATCTGCCGCTGCACAGGCAGCAGGGAGGGCTGCAGGCGGTCCCGTCGTGCGGACGAACACCTGTAGAGCACGCGTCGACGTGCCCGTGACTCCACGGGCTACACGGCGCATCCCTTCCTCGTGCCGTACAACACCTTCAGCTCCGGCATGATGATCTTCTTAATGAGCGCGTTCGTCTTGGCGGTGAGCATGTCGCGATGCGGATCCTTCTTGAAGATCTTGATGCCGGGCCGGTGTACCAGGAAGGCGTTGTCCAAGATGAGGAAGTCGTAATCGAGAACGCAGAGCGCGTAACCCTGTCCGCAAGAGATAACTCAATGTATCGCATTGTAGTGTGCAGAATTATCAAGGAAAAGAGCTCAGAGCTCTATCTTATTCTACATTTAATATCTGAATACAATATTACAAAAGCAATGTTAAAATTCAATTATTATTCTAAATTACAATTATATAGAATTTCAGTTAAGTCAACAATTTCCGTTATCTCGATTATTATTCTAAATTATATTACGTATAATTTTGGAGAAGTTATTCTTTTGAAATTTTTTATAGAGCACCGACACTCTTCTTTTACTGTTATCCCGGAATTTTATATAGATAGATAAATTTACCTGCGTCATTTTATCGCTCTTTCCCTCCCAACTGAGTCTCTCGTCGTAAAGAGGATCGTTATTGGTCCCGATAAAGATCGGCTCCCAGTGCACGAAGCTGCCAGTCCTCTTGCCGACGTGGAACACATGCAGATCATCCGTCTCTGGCGCATCCTGCCACTCTTTGCTCTTCGGCACATTATGGCAGCCAGAACATAGCTTTTTGTGGAATGGTATGGCGGTGCCCGTCTTCAGCATCTGCACCTACACATTTACGCAGACCTTCGAGCACGGAACTTTACGAAAAGATTTCTCAGACACACGTAAACGATTTGCTCCGGTCTCTAAAATATTTTCCGCTCCTCGAGCAATTCGCACAATGGAAACGAATTATGATATTTCAGATATGATGTTTCGACTTCCGGCAATTGTCCTGTACACACCATCAGCGGAAAGTGGTGGAAAAAAAAAAGAGAGGAAAAAAAAAGAAATAACAGGCAATCCACGTCGGGTGCAGTGCACACGTGTCGAGATTACAATCGTTTTCTGTTACACCGCCCCAGTTCTGAATGCGGCGCGTCAAAAGGTGCATTGTGCCGTGCCGCGCCGTAGGGTACGCAGCGGCAGGCAGACAATAGACGACGCTAATTCCGCGTATCAAGGTCCACGGTCAAAGGAAGCTCCATTGATTCGCCGTCGACCCTCGCGCGCTATTAGCAATGCAGTCGGATATACACTCGTCGCGCTCTCTTTCGCGCGTGCTTAATTGCCCTTATCGGACCCGATAACGTGCAAGTCACGTGCGGGACGACACGACGGAGGAAATACACGTACCAGACGCGTTTTGTTGTTGGGCGGCTGACTCTTCTCGTCCACCTCGAAGATCGACAGTACGAAGACCTTGGGATTGGGCTTGTGGAGGGCCGGCTGATCCCGTCTGCGGATCATCTCCAGGAACTTGGCGGGCAGATTCGGGCTGGGGTACAGCTCGATGTCGCTGGGGAACACGTACAAGGTGGGCGCGGCCTCGCGCGCTATGTTACGACCCACGTTCACCGGGTACAGCAACTTCTTCTCGTTCTTGTACATCTTTGCTAGGCTCACGTTCACCCACGGCGGACCGAGCGAGCAGTTGTACGTGTCGGAGACGATCTTCTCCGACGGTGGTACCTACAGTGAAATTACAGTGTTTCAGTCGAATGTTGTTCCGACGTGGTAATAAATAAACGATGATACCAGAAGACAAAATCAGAAGCGCGATTGTTGGAGCGCGAGAATTATTATTATAAATTAATTTCGGAGAATCCTCTCTTCAGTTTGATATACAAGACAGAATATATATTAGATATAAGAAAGAAAAATTTAGATTATAAGGAAAATATAAAGTAAAATGTATAATTGAGATTCAAATTATTAATTTTGTATTTTAATATTTGTTGCGCATCGACCACATTTCTGATTTTTATTACTCTATCACTGTTTATTTTTTACCACACTTTATAATAAATATTTGAGAAATATTAAGACACACGCTGCAATTGAAAAGTTATAGAATTAATTAATTTGATAATTGGAACTAATTTAAAATTATAAACGTAGATGCATGAAAACTTAGATCTTCCGTTTTTCTTCGCACCGTGTACTTTTGCGTGTCTTAACACCATCAATTACTATCATTATACCATAAAACATGGTTAATTGTTGCATTTAAAAGGATTAAGAGATAAATCGAGGCTCACGGTTGATGGATATTCATGCATGCTGGACAAATGCATTCGAAGATACAGCCCGAATGTAATTACGTAATTATCTGTTTGGAACAGTGCTCACTTACTTTGCCAACGAACGCGGAAACCGCAGGACTATTTGCGGTATCCAGAGACGCGTATCCGCTGGATCTGAGGTATTCATTAGAATATAAATCAAGCTGATGAGAATACACGGACGCAACAAGACGGTAGGATCTAAAATACTCTTCGCGTGCCAGCGCGGCCGAACTGCATATGCATAACGTGGATTTATGCACGCACTACGTTCGCAGAACAAATTACCCAGGGATAGCATCCTGCCGCAACAGGACGTTTATGTCGACCGGATCTATGAGTAATTTGTCGCATCGTCCGACACGCGCATTGCCGATGTGCGATTTATCAATCTTTCTCCGAAACGATCGACAAGCACAGTCAAGAATTATAAATAAAGGTGTAGAAGATAACTCCAAGTTTATTGAACGCGAAAATACGTTTTAACGTAGAAAAAAAGTCAAGTACTATAATTATTGATTGTTCCTGTGAACTTAATGTCTGCTTTATTATGCAGACTCCGACAATGAGATATCATTGAAGTCAATGTGTCCTATGCCTGTAGCATATAAAAGATACTTGCAAGAATCTTGTCGCGTAGGCAGGACTCAGAAAGCATTCGATGAACACGTGGGACTTTCGGCAGCAAAGAAGCGATCAACGGAAGTCAACGCTCATTCGTCACGTCGGCTTAAGGTATTCGCAAGATGCATCCGGGAGTTGAGGGCTCGGGGACACGCTGGTGGGAGATCGTAACTATCGAACTGCTTATTTACCAATTTTGGCACGTGTTTGCTGCTGAAGAAGACGTGAAAGGTCACCAGTTGCGAGACCAGAGGGCTGCCGCAGTTTCTCGAGTACCTGATGGCGTCGAGGGTGGCCGGGAAGTCGGTGCCGGGTGCGTGCATGGCGATCGATATTGGCGCCCGCCACCGCTCCAGCAGAGCCTCCAGATTGTCCAGGAACGTGTAGTCGGCGTGCGTGGTGTACGTCACGCTCTCCCAGCATCTCACCGACATGCTCATCGGCACGTAATTGTACAGCACCCAGTAGTCGCCCCGTTGCGCCCGCCTCGGCTCGGTCGACTTCTCGTTGCAGGGAACGGCCTCCTTCAGGCTCATCGGCTCGTGCGCGACGCTCGTCGTGCCGTTCTTTGCCTGGATGGGAGAGCGCCGGGAAATTTAACGATTGTTAATAGCATCGAGGCGGCGGAAATGCCGTGAATAGCACGCCAACGATTGGCGAACCTGAATTCCTCTACGCGACATCACTATCTTTACGTTAATGTGCTCTTGTGAAGGAAATGACACATCCGGACTTTTTCAGCACGGCTCTTTCAATAGTCGCACAATTATTAGACATTGCGGCGTGATGAACAGGAAGAAAATAAAAATATATATATTAAAATATATTATATAAAAATATATTATCTTCTGTGAAAATAAATCTTCGGTAAAAATGTATTTTAATTCTTTATCTGAGAATGTTATTATTTTTTAAGCTAATTTAATTCTGACAAATAATCTCGACGTTTTCATTTTCAATAAATTTATATTATCTTTTGTAAAATAAATGTAAATTTTGTTTCAGTAAAGTTGTATTTCACTTTATCGGAAAATAAGCATTATATTATGTTTTTAAATCAATGTAATTGCGATAAATAATCTCGACGTTTATTAGCCATTGACATTTTCACTTGCATCGTCGCAAACCGCATTTAATAATTAATAAAATTACATCTAACGGTTAATCTAAACCGCAACGTCATCGTAAGGATTAGAGAATGGAAGAGCAACAAGCAACGGAATAGAACGAGAGAATACCGTCTGATTACGTGGGTGGTCTTGCAACTTGTCGAGAGGCTCGGCCTTGGCCCCGTTGGGAGAAGGCGTCGTGGTGACGAGCCTGATCCTGGCGCCGCCGCCGTTGTTTGTCCCAGGCGCCGCATCCTTCGTGGCGGACGCGGCCAACGACGCGGAGGATAACGACGCGGCGGCGCCCTTCTGCGTACCGTTCGCGAGATCGTTCACGGCGAAAGCTTCCTGCTGAAGCGGCGCCGCCGCCGCCCAGTTGGTCGGCGGTTCCTCGATCCACGGCCCGGAGGAGCCGATGTTGGTGCACACGTACAGCAGCACGCACACATTCAGCACTATCGATAGGCGTAGCGCCCAATTCCTGCGGGCAATGGCCACGATGCTCATTCTCCAGGTCCGATTAACCGCGGGACGAGGGGTGCGAAGAGCGGGGAAGATAGATCGCTCGTCGGTTCCTGCCGGGGATCGTCGTGATGAACCCCTCCGGGTGACGGTGTCGTCGCGTCGCCGTTAATGCTGGACTTGCGACTCTCGGTGACGTCGGCACGCCGCATCCATCATCGCTCCGCGGCCCACGAGTGACCGGCGATCAGGACCTGCTCATGATCCCGCGAGCTGTCGACCGATTGCGTGCACCTGGAACGGAAGAGGAGGCTCTGATTATTATGACAGATCGCTATAAATTACAATGCCTTTCACATTATGAATGCCACATTACACTGACTCGGTTGACGTGCATGTGGGAAATTTGTTGGGTGACTTTTTATTATTCTCCCCTAAAAAGAAATTTGTGCTCTTGCAAAATTGTAAGTCTCCAATTTTGTGGAAACAATCAGCTAAAATTCCATCTTTTAATCGAAATTAAATATTCGTGTAAACCTCTTTAAATCGTATCATATGTCACATAAATGTATTGATACGTTAATATTTTATTACACATGCAGAATCGCATTGCATAAATAAGTGTCGAAATTATTCGTATCGTAAAGTTAGGCACAGCGCTCGCTACAAGCGCACGCTGTTCCTCGCTTCATTTTTCGCTTGGACGAACGTTTCACGTTAAATCGCGTCCCGTTTATTTCACGATATATCGATGCGACGATCCCGTTTATTAAGCTGCGCGCTGCAACGCGACTTTCCCCCTATCTCGGCATCTTCTTCCTCGTTGACGTCAGACGTTGCATCGGAGCCGGCGATGCGATGCAACGCGACATTATCGGACCGGGTGGTCGGAATTGAGCAACGGCGGCTTAGGCGATTCCCTTCCACGTCGGATCACGATCCGACGTTTAAGCAACGGCGAGTGAAATCGAGAGGATACGACAGAAAAGCCATTACCGAAAGACCGAAAACGACTAGTAAGAAGCGACCGTAGCGCGTCATCGGCCTCTCCGTCGTCAATCTTGCGGCAACTTCTCCGCATACATTATTCTCTTTTTCCTTTTTTCCTCAACACTGAACTCTCGTATCTTCCACCGGTATTTCGACGACTCTTACGCGATAACACATTTTTTTTTATCGTATCTCTTTTAATCGTGGTTTCTTCACTGAATTTTTTCCTCTCAAGAAATATTTTAAGGCGCTTAATCTTAACTCTTAACGCAATTTCAATCGGAAACTTATAAGAAAAAAAAACGTGTAACGTTGAAAAGCAAGTTGTCGAGATAAATTGACCCCAAGTTAGGCAAAGAAACTTCGATTAAAAAATAATACCGTAGAACTGGGTCACCGTCTATAAAACAAGCCGAACGTTTTCTAAATGAAAACGGAGCGAAACAGGCTTTAAGGGCGCTTTGCAAAGAAAACATCATAACGGCGTTTTGTGCTATAAGAATAATTTACGGCATGCAATGTTCAACCATTATACAACAATAAGCACATGTTTCAATTTTAAAGTCAAAATTATCGGTAATATTAGGAGATACTGCGAGATGTGATAAGCGTGCGATCATTTGCTTGCTAATCTGTTCGTTTACAAAATTTACGGCTTAAGAAAGATATACTGAAACTCGTAATAAATTACTCTTTAAGTGCTTTATGTTTACAATTATGTCGCATTATTAGCGCAACTCCAAATATTAACATAATTATCTTGGATAAAAAGAGCGTAAAGATAGCACAAACGCAAATTGATATTTGATGCACTTCGACGACACGTGGAAGCCCTATTAACGATACAAAAATATGCAACGGAACGCAGCGATGTTGGATGACGTCAAAATTTCGCGAAATTATGAAATTCTGCAAATATTTGATGTAAAGCGTTGAGCAAACACGATAAGACGATAAGACGATATTATTAATCACAAATGATAGATGTCGATATTATTGACGCAATATTACGGTTATTAGAACGTGTAACTTCTAGAACGGTAATTTTAGGTCACTGATACTACGCAAATATTTGATTAAATAAGGAATACGATATGTTAAAAAAAACAAGTTTCCGGACTCGAGCAGAAGTGATTTCTAATGTAAACCCATCGACGGCTCGGCGATGTCTAATTTCACGTAATTAATACATGTATCCGCTAATGAGCGACGCAAACCGCGTCAAATCGTTAGCGGAGAATCGCGAAAAAACAGCTGAACGCACGTGTCGCGCGAAGGACACCGCAGGAATCGCAGAAGAAGAGCACAATCAGGCACCGTGGAAGTATTTTTCATTTGAGGGGGTAAAATTTATAAAGGGGATACATAATACATTTATAATATGTATATGTATATAATTCCATTCAAACACCATATAATAGACCACTCAGTAGGTAGTACAAATTTGCGAAAAATATGCACAGATTTTTTGCTCTAATTAATGCGCTTAATTTTCTTCGTTATATAGTGTACTTCAATTGAACGAGTAAATAGTAAAAAAAAAAGGAAAAAGAAAGAAAAAAAGAAAAGAAAAGAAAAATAACTCATTTTTCTACCTTTGATGTAAATATTTGATGCTCAATATTTTCATGAAATACCTGAAGAAAACAGAAAAATTTCAGGGGGGCGTCGTAGCCCGCCGGTTCCGCGGCGCCTGAACACAATACGCCGGCTGTCGCATTAATTTCGAAGGAGAGGCCCGTAAGGACGAAGGGGGCAAAGGCCGTCATCGAAGCGACGGTTTTTAATTATCGACTTTCCTCAAAGACCCGGTCATCCGTTTACTATCGATCGCTCGGGAAACTCATCAACGGCCGAGCGTGGGAGCTCTTTGATCGTGGGAACGCAAACAGTGCCACTGTATTTTTAAAGCGCGAACTTCCGCCCATCGTGCATTTCGCCAGTTAAAGCGTACTTCGCGTTTTCGCGAAAAGTTCTCAAAACGGATCGCTACTATTCGGCAGAAATTTCGCTGAATCCTTCAACGCGGCGCGGAATAGTAGCCGCAAAATTATTTTTATTCCAACAAGTACAACTTTGTGCAAATATTGACAGCCGCGTATTTTACTTCGTACTTATTTATCAGATCACGTGATGCAGAAACGATATAGCGAGAGATTGTTATTTTTAATATTACACATAAATATATCGTACGTGACTTCAGAATTAAATTATTCAAAAATAACCCACTTTGTACGATTCATAATTTCACTGTAACATTCGAGATAGAATTCTATTTATAATTTTACGAGTTGCGTAATACAGGAAAAAGCTGGGAAAATTCAAAATACACGCATGTACAAAATGCATATCGATGATACGAACGTGTGTGTATCTTCGATATAGAGTTTTATCTCGAATTCTGTCGCAAATTATAGATTATCTGAAGCGAGTTTAAAATAATAAAACAAGTAAATAACTCAATTACTCCATATTGCAAACGGCACACATATACGAGATGCAATATTTTTCGTGCAATTTTCTCGTGCATACAGATGGATGTCAATAATCGATCGATATTGAAAGCGGCAAAAAAGGATAATCATATTGCTCTGCAAGCGAATTCGCCGACCCACACACGCGATCCAATAACGTTATCTGTGCTATCGATCCGCGATCACCGGGACACCGCGATCCTGAAAACCCACGCACATCCGGTTGCTCTTTCCGTCTCTCCAGGAAGTAGGCGTGGGTGACCGAAATTGATAGCAGCTCGATATCGAAATAGTTTGTGCTTGTTAATTATCGCCTTATGTTCCATTCGCACGCGCGACGTCCGAAAAAAGCAAAATTTTTACCAAAATCATATCGTGATTATGGATTTGCCGCTGCGCGATCTTTATTATTTAAAAATTCCATTTTTTTAAAAAAAAAAAGTTAGAAATTTATGAATTGTAATTACGTCATTATAAAATACATCAAACATTTTTAATTATAATTTCATGTTTTATAAAAACCTCCTCAGCTTGAAAATGTCATAACTACAGCGACAAAATTATATAATTAATACCTTTTTTAAAGCAGTTTATTCTTGCGCGATATAATTTGCAAAAAGTTTGCTAATGATATTTCAGCGTCTAAAGGAATTATCGCATCTTTCCGCTTTGATGCGAAACAATGTCGCATCAAGTTTAAGAAGATATCAAAAGCTGCAATTAAAGATAATAATTATTTAGTATCTCACCGTGCAAACATTTCGCGATTATGCTTCAAGCTGAAAAATATTTAACGATTCTGTGCGACGAGCGAAGTCGTCGTTAAACGCTCGCCTGGCGTTGTCGCTATGGCACCAAAGCTTACCGGCGTTGCATAAATGGCGAGCTTAAAGGGGGGTTAAAACGGTAACGCTTTGCGAAAAAGTGAGTTCACAGACGAGCCTTTCATCAACCGTGAATCAGCCGTATGTCCCTTGGGTTGCGCATTTATTTATCCGCGCAGTAATGTGTACATCATCATGTGAAATTGCTGTTAATTTATTTTCAACTATTAGCAAGTTATATACAGTGAATCACACAACTGCGATCTTCGTGATAGACGTTAGACATAAAAACATCATCATCACGCTGCGCGTCGCGTGGCTATTTAATTTACGGCGCGTAGGATCGTAACGTGATATGTTCTCTAAAAATAGAAATGAAATAAAATACAAACGCCGCTATAAAATTGTACTTTTTATCCTTTAGGTATTCATTATTGTGCTGTGAAATTTTAACGGCTATAGTGTAAATTATCAGAGAGACCTAATTACAACGTGACATTAAAATTAAATGGAAAGAGATAAGAAATAAAATTCTATTTTTTTCGATTAATTTTAATAGCATTCACGGCTGGGGAGAGAAATGAATATATATATTCCTGTATCGCTCAGACTAGGAGCGCAAATTTTGCATGAAAAAAAGAATTCGATTTAGCTGTCACGACGGTGAATCAATTTTCCTTCATCGTTCACCGGAAATTTGCGTAATATGACACCGGACGGACGTGTACATGCGAGATCTCTCAATCCGCCGATTTTATTAGCACATATTTTTCGGACAGCGCGCGCTCGATCGATCCAATCGTTCGAGCGGCGCGCAAGCAACAAACCCATAAAAGTGAATCGCTGCGGCGGAGAACGTCAATGGGAATAGAGTGAAATAAATATTTCCTGGCACAAAAACTCCGAAGAATAAGAGTAAATATATATCGTTAGCGTTAGCTTTCAAGTCACGTCAAAACTTCCGTGCGTGAAAAAGAAATTATAGAAGTTATACGAAGAAGAGTGA